GGGTGCGGAGGAGGGAGGCCAAGCCGGGGCCGGGCTGCTTGGGGTTGCGACAATCCCGCCAAGAGTGGGGGATCATGATGGGAGTGATGAGACAGAGTGTGATGTGGGTTGCATGGTACATGTCGAAAAATGAGATGCAAGGCAACGAGACCGGATGCGAGGGAAGGGAGGGAAGAACGCACCCTGTCTCTAGCCAACGCTGTCGCTGGTGACAAGAGCTGGCCTTCGATCGAACCAAAGGACGGGCGCGCGGCGGAAGCAGCAGTGACGGACGCGTTGGACCGCACCGAGCGATGGCTAGATGTCCGCTCGGGCGTGGGTCTAGCTGTGCCGATCTGTGTCCGCCCGCTCGTGTCTGCGGCTCTACGCGACGGACCGTGGTCCTCGTCGTCCGAGGAGCGGTCGTCGACGTCGTCGCCCTCATCGTGCTTGCGCGCGACGATGCGCTTGATCTGCTTCTTGAGTGCGCGGTAGTCGATGTACGCGCGCGCCCATTCGGGGGTCGCGTTGTCCGCGAGGTAGCTGGGTGAGTGCGGAAGAGAGAGTGGCGCTTACCGGCCAAACTTCATGGCGAGGAATGCGGCGCGAGGAGAGTGTTGCGGAGATGGTAGAAAACGTTGATGAGCGTGAGGAGACGAGATGGGGCAGTCGAGACAGCGAGCGGCGACGGGCGTGGGATGGGCGTAGAAGCAGCCCCCCGATGGCCGTTGCGAGATGGAAAGGAAGAGAGATGAAGAACGGATATAGGAACGTGATGTCTCAAACACCAACGGGATGATCGTCATTATGCCCCCACGTGCAAAGCCACCCAACCCCCGCCCACCAGGCCACCAGCGCGCCATTCGATCATCCATCACCACAAATATCCCTCCCTCACGCAGATGTCAGCCGTATGATCATGCTGATAGCAGGACTGGCAACATCATTCTTTCGCTAAGAGTGAGATGGATTAAGCTTGGGCGTAATGTCTGGCTTCCGAGATCCATGCATGACGTATTGTGTGGAAGTTGCTTCTAAAGATAATGACGACCGGGTGGCGCTACTCGGTCGAGATCACAGTGCGGCCTTAGGCTTCCAAGTCCACATTCCCCATCCGAGCGGCCCGTTCGGTTGAACGAAGATGTCTTGCAGCGCGTCCGTCTTTGGGTCGGCTGCGGCGGCCGCGACCACAAGAGGAAGCAGGTGCTCGGGTGTGGGGTGTGCCTGCCGATAGGCTGGGTGGCGGAAGAGACCGATCGCTCCATCCGTGGGTGAGTCCGAGTGCAGTGCACTCCCGATCGCTTGCAGGAACGCATCGCCATACGACCCTCTGCCGCCCGTCATGTAATCGCGCAGATTGTGCACTGCCTGGCCCGAGCCCATGATACCATAGCCCTCGTCGCGCAGAGATGCGAGCGCCTTGCCGAGCTTGGCCGCTGACACGGGGTCTGAGTCGCCTGGCAGAGACACCTGCACGACTGGGATGTCCGTCTTTCCCGCGAATGCGACGAGGAAGGGGACTGGCGTTAGCTCACTGACCTCACTGACAGCGGCTTGCGAACCGTAGATGAGACTCACCCCATACGCCGTGGTCAAGCCCGCGCTTGGCGGTGCTCACATCCATACCAGACGACTTGAGCGCAGCCGTCACGTCCTTGAGCATCTGCGGGTCGCCGTGCGAAGTAAACTTCTGCTCATAATAGTTTTTGGGGAAGCCGTAGAAGTCGTACACAAGAGGATTGGACGCGTCCGTGTTGACTGCTGTTAGTGGCCTCGGGTAAACATAGGGACTGAGATACTCACCGACAACGCCAGCCGAGTGCGAGGGGTTCTCCCAGTGCGCAGACACGACAACAAGGCCGCGCGGGCGAGCAGCCTCGACCATCTTGCCGTACTTCTGCCAGGCCTTGTACGGCGCACTTGCCGTGTCAAACATGGTAGGCGGTCCACCATGCGAGAGGAAGTAGACCTCGCCCTTGCGAGGGGGAGTGGAAGAGGTGGCAGTCGACATGGTGCGGGCAAGAGTGGAGGCGGAGGTGGAGGCTGGAATAGGGGTGGAGCGGAACGCTGCCAGGCTGAAGGGAGTGAAGCGAGGAATAATGAGGACGGCCGCAAGTACGCCGAGCGAGATGAGGAGGAGCAGCTTTGTGGGTGAGCCGGAGCGGCGAGGCATAGGCGTTGGTGGTGGTGGACGTTGGGCGAGTGCGGGATAGATATATCCACTCGGAGGGGTGGACATTACTAACCCACCTCCGACGGAACCTGGGAGGATTGCTTGCTTATCGAAATTCGCCGCACTTGTGCCGCCCACCTCCGCAATTGACGTGATGGGCTTAGTGATGCCTGGGACACCTTGGAAACCGAACTCAAACTGTTCGAGCCGGTGACGGGACGCGATGGCGGCGGTGCATCGCGTGCCGGCGGGAGCGCGCTTCGATGCGGACGTGCACGTGTCCCTTGGGCTTGGACTTGGGCTTTGGGGGTCTCGAGCTCTCGCGCGATGGGGGCCGAGTGCGTGAACTGATCGCACCAACCCGATACCGGAATTCGGGGACGTTCTTCGGCTTCTTCTTGCAACTCTTGGGGTGCAACTTGCGCTTCGAGGGCGACTTGATGGCTAGAGCGGAGAGGTCGCGCGTCAGAGACGAGACCGTGGCGTCCATAGGCTTAGGCTTGGGCTTTGGTGTAGAGATGAACAAACTGCCGAGGGCGGGTGTGAGGCATGTGACGGCAGAAGCGCTTGGGGCAGGAGAGGGGGAGGCTGTCGGCGCTGCCATTTGTCCTACAGCATCCACAGCACAGTCGGCAAGCTGAAAGATGGACGTGTGAGTGGAAAGAGGAGCTGGAGTGGACTGGAAGAAGCGGAGTGGAGATGATGCTGTGTGACCGGAGGCTAAAGGCATGCATGAATTGATGGCCGTTTAGCGGCGGCTCAGTGCCGAGGCAGGAAGGACTACGGTGGAGAGTTGTTATGATGACGTCCTCCAATTTACAGCATGACAGCATACACATCATGCTCATTGCGCGTGGCTTGTGCACCCATATCCATTGCAACAATGTGGGAGATACAACAGAGATTTAACATGCAAACAATGCACTACCTAACCATGCACAAATCAAGCTACTACACCTCCCCCTCCCCCCGACGATGAGGTGCGGCCCCACCAGCGGCACCTCCTGACGGTGATGCGTCCTCGGCCTCGGCCTTTTTCGTCTCAATCATGTCCTTGACGTTCTGCGAGCAGTACGGGCATATGCCTGAGTGGTTGACGAGCCAGTTGTCGACGCACTCGACGTGAAACACGTGCTTGCACGGCAGCTGGCGGAGCCGCTCCACCAGATACATTTCCTTGCCAAAGACCTCTCGCGGAGGGAGAAATGAGCTTTGGCAGATGGCGCAAGTCACTTGGTGGGCGCTGAGCACGACTCCAGGCAGACCGAGACGCGCGGGGTCGGCCTCTCCGGGCGCCACGGGCTGGCCCTTTGGTTCCTCCGGCGAGGGTGGGGCGCTCTTCTCAGCGTCGATGCCCATCGCCTTCTTCAGCATCGCAGAAGCGACGCCCTGCGATGAAGTGCCCTCGTTGATACTCCCGGCTTTTGAGGGCGCGTAGATTGACGGCTCGGGCAACGGCTCGTTGGGATCGGGAATGTATGCGACGATGGGGCATGCCTTGAGATCGTCCTCAGTGAGCGTCTCCGGCTGCGGCGTGCGCGGGCGGTGCATCCCCAAGATGGGTCGCACGGGCCAGCCCATAAAGTGGGCCAGTATCTGGCATCAGCGGATATCCACGAACTAGAAGACAAACCAGGTAGATTCCGGAGACGACGAGGATGATGCTTGCGCCGACGACGACGAGCGCGTAGTATACGGCGTGCAGCCACCCAAAGATAATCGTCGTAAGCATGAGCGGCCACCACAGGAGCGGGGCACTGTCGTAACAGTTCTCCTCGTTGACAGTCGGGAGCTGGGCAAAACACACGGCCGAGCCAATCAACCAGAGCACAAAGTGCACGATGGTCATCGAGTTGTTGACCTGGCTGGCTAACGAGTCAGCCGTTGCCGCCCACTTCTTGTGCCGCCGTCGCCGGCGCTCAGACTTGGACTCGCGTGATTGCGACGTTGCGAAAGATGAGGATGGTGAGGGTGGGTGTGACGGTGTAAACCTGATACTAGCCCGAGAGCCAGATGCAACTGACACAACGGAGGATGATGGGGCGAAGCGTTGTTCGGGGTCGACGGGCATTGTTGTCGTGGTCGCGACGGCAGCGGACGACGGCCCAGCGTGCGAGGAGATCATGTCGTCACCGGATGTACCAACGGCGCGGCGCACCTCGCTGGAGGGGAGAGAACCCCGTGACGACGACGCGCGGGACTCAAATCGCGCAGGAGCCGGCTTGCAGGGGAGATGTTGGATGGGAGCGGGCGCCACACGGCCATTCGAAAGTGACGGAGGGTAGGAGAAGCGCGGCGGGTTCGCAGGACTTTGGGATGGCGGCTCTGATATAAGGCGGCCTCCCTCGGGGATGGCGTAGTCGATCGAGCGATGTTCTCCGGGTGCACTCGCGGAGCGTGCGAGGGCCACATCGCAATGCTCAAAGTTCTCGCTCCCACCTAGCTGAGGGAGAGGCAGGCTCTGCGCACTTGGCCCAGTCAAAGGGCCAGTAGATTCTGTCACCGCGTCACGGTGGGGCAGCGCAAGCGTCGCGCCATTATCCCCCCTGCGGAAGATGTGCCCCTCGTCATCAATTCGAAGTTGCGCCGCGATCAATAGCGCGGCTTGCGCACGCCGCTCGTCAACGCGACGCGCCTCAAGCTCGAGGACCTCGATGCGCGCGCGTGCAGCGGCGGCAGCGCGCCTGCGGCTGCGGAAGAACGTCCACACGCGTGCGAGGATACACAGCCCTAAGCGCGCGGTGGACATGCCCAGGAGGGCGATGAACACGCTTGGATTGTGGCACGCGCCCTGCTCAGTCTGGACGTTGGTGCCGTCGGGCGAGCGCGTGTGTGACGCCACTCCAAGCAGGATGATGGTTGCGCCAAAGACGGCAACCATCATGGCGAAGGTCACGACTGCTTGAACGCGTGCGCGTTGCATGCGCCTGGCGCGGGCCCGATGGACCTGGTCTTCCATGGACGCGTCAGTGCGGGGGAGGTTGAGGAGGAGTGGAGAGTTGGAGTAGGAGGGGAACGCTGCGTGTAGGATGAGGTAAAGGAGTAGGGAGTGTGGTAACCGCGATGGAAGAGAATGTTTGATGACGACCAAAATTCAATTGAGGGTTAAGTAGACGCGGTGTCGAGCTGTGCAGATCTCGAAAGTTGGGTGGCGACTTGGCGTTGGCCTCGTCGCGTGTGGCGCAGAAGAGGGATCAAGGTAGAGAGAGGGGTTGCCTCTGTCGCGGACTGTCACAGCGACAGAGGACCAAAGGTGGCGGGACCCAGCAATTGATGTTTCAACGATGGAAGGAGCGACGCCAAGCTGATGCCTAGACATGTCGCTGCTACGAGTCTTCTCACCGCCATTGACATTCACCCCGTCATCACCCCAAGGCACCCAGGCACCATCTGCCCCCTCCTTGCCTTGGCTCTCCGATAGTCACGTGGTCTCAACGCGACTTTGCCTCCGTCTCCGAACTCTCCGCCAAAAGTCGGTCTTGAACTCACTCAGTCTCGAGCTCGACATCCATCCGCCGTCTGACATCGACACCGACACCATGTTCGGAGCTCTCCGACCCTCTTCTGTCCTTAACGGCGGCCTGCTTTGGAAGGTACCGTACCGCCTGTCCAACACGCGCAAGGCGAACCTCCGACAGCGGCTCAAGCGCGTCGACTCGGTGATTGCCGCGGTGGCTGAGAGCGGCGTTGAGTGCCGCGCGCTCACCCGGGCACTCGAGCTGCCAAAGGAAAGCGAGATGCCAGCGAAGGGTATGTTCTGAGGGGCCAGGATAAGTGGAGCGGCGCATGCCTCGCCAGAGGAGGCGAGCACCTTCGCGAACGATGCGGTTGAGGGAGGATCGACGTAACGGACTAGCGCTGACTCGAAGACAAGTACACCACCTACGACCCCAAGTACCAGCAGCATAAGTGGCGCAAGGGCGTGCACAAGGTGCCCAAGTGGACTAAGGTCGGTGTCCCTTCGGACCCAGTCCTCCAATGATGCTAACGAACAGTTGACATTGCGTACCAACCCCAAGGGCTTCTAGTGTATCCGCATGGCATGTAACAACATCTCCCTCGCTCGCCATATCTATCATCACCACTGCGGCGGGAAGCTGGGGTGGTTTTGTGGAACGGCCACGACCGCGGACACGAACTGCACGGGCTGAACGTACAGTGTGTTGACGTAAGTAATGTGCGTGTGCGTGTGCGTGTGCGTGCAGTGACAGCTGTCTTGATACTGCTCACGATCGTTGGCATCTGCGGCGCGCCCCTCTCTCATGCGCTCGCCTCTGCGCCGCTGGCTTCTTGAGGAACTGGCGCTGCGTGGGCGTGGGCTCTCTGGCTGAGGTATGGATCTGCGCCGCGATCGCCGTGAGCCTTCGGGCGCATTGCGGGTAGTGCAGGTCGTGCGCAAGCTTGTGGAGTGAATTGGGATGCGCTGTAATGGTGGACGGTTGTCGTTGCTGATGCGGGCGGCGTGACGTTGTTGCCTGCGCTCAGCCTTGCGCTCTGGTGTAGAGTAGTCGCTCTCTTCCGCCTCGAGGGCGATGCGCATCCAAGTCACGAGACACTGGAGAACGGTGCATTCTTTCTGGTTGCGGCGGATAATAGGCGACACAACGCAGCGCGAGTAGTCAACGGTGAAAACGCCGAAGACCCACCACTTTAGGGTGGTGGCAACCCAGCACCGGACGCCATGGGCGACGCACGCGTCGATCATCTGGGCCTGGAGGAGGCGGGCAAGTTGACTGTGTTCGTCGCGGCGGCTGGTGTGCTTCCCCCACTCCCGGATGTCGCACGTCAGCTCCTCCACGACCTCCTTGCTGTATGGCTGTGGGGGTAAGACCGTGAGGAGCATCGCGCGGCGCGGCGGTGCAGATGCCCCGTTGCTGTTTGCGCGCGCAAGAACGAGCGTGCCGTGACCGTTCACGAAGGCGGGGGCCTCATCTTGAGTACCAGGTGGGCTGGGTAAGCTAGCCAAGGGGAGGGGTGGGGCGGTCCAGAACTCGGCGTCAAGGTAGCGGAACCGGATGGTGTGGAGGACGCTGAGGGCCGATGTGAGGACCGTCTCGTTCAGCCAATGAAGAAGGTATGTGTCAGGAGACACCGAGGCTACTCCACTGAGGCACTTCGTCTTATAATTCTCTGCTGGCACTGTGAAGAGCAGCTTCCCCCAACGTTCGTCCTTTGAGAGGCGTTGGTCGGGCACATGAACATTGACGTCGTCGACGATTGCGTGCTTGAACCTGGGGTTTCGCTCCCATGTGCGGAGTGCGCGTACTCTTGTGTGGGACAAGCTGAGACGGGCGAAGGAGTTTTCGAGAGCACTACCTCGATCCATGCTTCGGCTACGCGAATGTAGCTGGTCTGCAGGCCAACCTTCAAACTTCTCGATCGCGGAGGAGGCGAGATAGCCTCGCAGGTTGTGAATGGGCTTTAGGAATATCTCTTCGATTGGCTGTTCACGTTTGGGGGCAGGCTGCGGTGCAGTCTTCAAGGCCGAGGAAAGTCGGCGGCTTCGGCGGTGCCGTGGTTCATGCCGCTGCTCCTCATCCGCACTCTCGACGGGGTCGGACCAACTCACTCGTGAGCCTAGGCTGTCGCGGCTGGTCGTGCGCCGCAATTCTAAAGACGGCTGCCCGTGGGGAACAACCAGGCCCGGAGTTGACTCATGGAGACTCAAGCTGACTGACCGCTGATGGTGCGACCTGCTGGAGGGAGTTGGCCGCTCCTGTGGGCCAAGGCGTGTAGAATCATTTCTCGGGCTAAATGAAGGAAAAGCTGTCTGGGGGTTGGGAGGCCATTGGGGCGCTGGAGGAGGAGGCTCGTATCGTTGGGCGTACGGCGTCCTAGTGTTATGCGAACTCGGAGTCGTGATATTCGTGTTAGCGCTTGCAGAACGCGCCAAACGGTCGCCTTCGGAATGGGCGCTAACACGCGAGCCCCGAGTCGGACCGGGATTGTGCCGGGTCATTACCCTGGCTAAGATACGGACTGATGTAGTGAGCCAGATATCACAGAGAGACGCGCTTCAGCAACACACCAGCCAAAGACTAATGTCGCGGACAGCGAAGACCAGAGCAACTTTGGCTCTTTGGATGCCACGAGAGCTGCGCCAGAGATTCTTGCGATGCTGGGCGTCGGGCCGCAAGTGGAGTGACAGAAGTGGTCGAGCTCTGACTCTTGCGACCGAGGTGAGATCAGCGATCCGCAACCCACCGCAGGATTCGTAGCCAACTGGTCTATATATTAATGTGGGGGTGGGCTGGAGGAAGATAGGTGCGAGTGGCCCGGCGGCTTCAGGCCCCAAAGTGGGAAGAGGGCAAGTGGCGAGTAGGTAGTTAGGAGCTGGGAGAGTCGCGTACGCAGCACGGAGCATGATATAAACATTCGTCGCCTCGATTGTGATGGGACTGTGGGGCGAGGCGAACAGAGGCGCGACGATGCGACCAGTATATTGTGATAACTGTTGATGAGTGATGACTGATGAACGGCGCGACAAGGGATGCTGCAGATGCATCACCTTTGCGTCAGCATTACGGCTGGTTGCAAAGTTTTATGCCCAGGAAACACCATCAGCACAAGGAAGCGAGCAACGACGTACCGTGCCCAGGTGAAGTGAGTTTGGCTATACATCGATGGTAGTCTAAGTCAATGACGAGACACTGTGCTTTGCCGAGGCGTGGCAGGCCAGACTGTGGCTCGCGCATCAGTGCTGTATATCAGTAGCTCCGTGCTCGAGGTGGGACCATGCAAGTCATGAAACGGAATCCATGCTTTGCGCGCCGTAAGTTATCAACAGGGTATAGTAGGATGCCCGGTGCAATAGCTAGGCCAGGCGAGCGGTGCGGAGCGACTGGAATGAATGGGAAGGTGGTCAGACGGACTGGTTGGGAACTGGCCCATACACTTTGATTCGTTGAAGTTTGAGATACACAGATAATAGGGCCGGGGTCAATGACCCATTTCCGCCGAGTGCTGATTCACTGAGTGGCGGCTGTGGCGTTGGGCTTGACCGATGTATCGGTCTCTACGGTAACAACGGGCTTGAGCAGCTTGCCGGCGCCGGGAGTGCCCTTGATGCGAGTAGTGGAGGGGGAGGAGATCCTTTTGTTGGTTGCGATGCGGAGGTTCTTCCTTTTCATCGATTTCACAGGCGTGGCATCGATGTTGATCTGACGGCTCGTGCTGTCGGCGAGCATCTTGGCTGGAGAGGTTGTCTCCGAAGCGGGCTTCTCGCCCTTCTTGTTAGTGGTAGTCTTCTCGGCCACGGTGTTGGGGTCCACCTAGAGTCAGCTTGGCAACCTTGTAAACAGATTTTGAGATACCTACGCGCATGTGGCCGTACTTTTGCGAGAGCTGGTCGACGGTGAGGACCTCGACGGATGGCTTGACAGGGCTATGAGGACTGCTCACAGGGGGGGGACTATTGGCGAAGCCGGCAGTGTGGGCCTGACTGGCGTGGGCCGAAGAGAGGGCGGAGGCGCGATTGCGCCAGTTGGCGCTCGCGTCGGCCTTGGAGGCAGCGTTCTGGTGAGAAGGGTTGGACTTGGAAGCGGTGGAGAGAATCTCGCAGGGAACACCGCCAAGCGCTGAGGAGTATTGGGATTTGGGAACGCGGACGTTGACGATCGCGTTGGTGGTTGGGTCGATAAGCGCAAGGGACACGAAGTCGCTCTGCTCAGTGACACCCTGCCAGACCGGGGCATTGGCAGAGTGAATCGCAGTGTCAATGCCAACGTTGAGAGAGTGGGCAGGCGGGGGAGAGCCGGGGATGGGGGAGAGTGGCTTGCCGATGCCGAGCTGGGAGCGGATATCGACGTGAGGGCGAAGCATGTTGGACTTGGAATCAGCTGCAGTCTTGCGGGTAGGACTCACATTGCCAGTATGGAGAAGAAGGTCAAGGGTGCTACCATCCATACTCGCAACCTTCTTCAGGCCTATGACCTGGGTTGAGTCACGCACCATGACAGGGACCTTCATGGCGTTCGAGGATGCGGGAGGAAAGTCCGACAGGGCCCCGGTAGAGAGATAGCTGGAGCTCGAGGCCGAGCGGTTCGTCGAGTCGGAGGGAATGCGGGAGGTACGAGCGTTTGAAGCGATCTTGCTCGAGTGATTCTTAGTGTCAAAGGTATCGGCACCACGGAGGCCGAAGACATGAGTCATATAAGAGGACTGGTCCGCGATAGTGGCGTCGACACCGCTGCAAGTGTTAGAGGGAAGGGGGCAGGCATGCTCACCTGGGGTTGCGGGCATAGGGGAGAGAAAGGGGACCATGGAGGGTAGGGATTGGGCGTTCACGTGCGCCAGCCACAGGACGACCAGGCTTGAACTTTTTGATCTGCTTCTGGCGCCAGCTGGACAGGTGAGTCGTGTCGGTGTCACCCGCTCTCGCCTTGGTGCTGTAGTCAAAATCAGGCTTAAGTGTGACAGCATAATTGATCTTGGCGGCGAGCTGGGCGGGCGAGGGACGACAAGGCGAACGGTCAAAGTCATCGGCCTCGTCGAGAAGTCGTTGGCGATAGTGGACATATGACATGGGCTGAGGTCCGAGGAAGATGTCCATTGACGCCGAGCTGGCGCTGTTATTGACAGAAGGAGTGCTGAATGAGCGATCGCCCGACGTGTCGGTGTTGACCGGAGTCTCAAAGAGGCCGTCCTGGGGAGCACGGATGTACTTGACCGAGTAGGGGGTTGAAACCCCCGGCGAAGGCGAGAGAAGAGGCGCACGAGACTCCATGGAGAGATCCTCCGACGTGGTGGCGACAGAGGGGATGGAGGGGCTTGGGGGACGACCGAAGGAAGGCTTGATTGAGTGACTGAACAAGTCAGCTGGTGAGTCCTGGAGATTGAGGAGGGAGCCGAAAGGGGACAGGGAAGGCGGTCAATCGCAGAAGGGGTGTAGACATACGTGATGTAGCTGTCGCTCACGACGCGACGCTGGTCGATCGTGTTGACAAGGCTGGTCGGTTTGAGGACGGGGGAGCTGTTGGGAGTCATCTTGTTGGGGGTGGGGGAAGGAGGGGAAGGAGCGCGAGTGGGAGATCCGGAGCTGTCCATGACCGAGTTGGCGATGTACAGGAAGGGTGAGAGCAAGGTGTTTGCAATGGTCCGAGGCATAGCCTAGCGGCTGGTCATTGACCGGATGGAAGAGCTGCTGGCTGTGTGAGCTACGATGGCTAGTGAGAAGGATGGTGACCGGTGCGCGGTGGACAGTGATGGGGACACGGGATGAGGGGGGGGGTGTGAGAGAGATGAGAGTGAATGAGAGGAAGAGAAATGAGCGTGAGGTGATCAATGTCCTTATAAGGAGTTAGAGCTACTGGTGGGGTGAGTGAGCTGGGCTGGAGGCACCGAGGAAGGTATCAAGAGGGGACGCCACTACGCGCTGAACGAAGCTCTACGAGTGTATGAGATGCCTGCGCGTGTTCGCCGTCTCATCTCCTCGTTTGTCCCGATTGCTGAGCTGGAGTCTTCAATGTCTCGGCGGTGGGAATCTCAGATGCTGTGCGTCGACGCTACTTAGCGCGCATAGCGTTGCGTTGTCGCAGTGCCGATGGTGATTCAGCGTCTGGTGTGGTTCATGATCTGTGAAGGATGAGGTGGGCGACCTCCACCTGACCACTGTGGCACTATGGTATTCGTTCTTAATTACCGCTGTCATCATTTACAATCAGGATAATGCATCATTCAACCTCCACTTTGGACATCTGGGTGGCAACGGGACCAAAAAGATTTAGGATCGACGTTCCCGAACTGAGAGGCCGAAGTAACCCAAGTCATCCCTCTCCTCTGTTAGTTCGACTTCACCACCCACTGCGACGCACTCGACCTGCCCATCATGGTCAAGTCTCGCTCCATGCGGGGCATCCTCGTCACGGACAACCTGCCCCAGCTCCAAAATCTCATCAAGGTATGTGCCATCGCTGTGTACTCAGTCTGACATCCAGCGCGACCCGGTCGCGTACAAGGAGGAGTTCATGATCCAGTACAACCACTACCTCTCGCTCCTGCGGCTTCAGACTGTCGCGCCTGTGGCTGGCTCGTCGACTAATGACAAGACGACCGACAGCTTTGAGGACCTCATTACCTTCGTTTCGCAATGCGCCCAGTGCTACCCCAAGCTCACTGAGGATCTGCCCAAGCAGCTGAGCGCGATGCTGCTCGGCAAGGATGGGTTTATGATGCTCAAGGGCGACACGCGTGAAACCGGTGTGCGCAACCTTGTCATGCTCCGCAACAAGGATGTGATCGACTCGATTGAGTGAGTTGAGGAGCCTGGCGGGCAGCGAGTAGACGAGCTGACAGCAGGCTGCTCCAAACGCTCCTTCCTTTGCTTCCGCACGTCGGCCGCGACCTGCGACAGACAATCCGGAAGACAATCCTGACCGATCTCAAGACATCAAACCAAAAGTCCAAGAACCACCGCCTGAACCGCGTGGTGCAGGGCCTTCTCTTCGGCATGATCGAGAGCGGGATGGGCGGTGAGGTCGTTGGCAACAAGGGCAAGGGCAAGGGCAAGGAGACGGGCGGCGAGGCGATGTGGGCCGTGATGATGGTGCGCGAGCTGTGGCGCAAGGGGGTGTGGACGGACTCCAAGACGGTTTCCATCGCCGCGCTCGCCGCGTTCCACCCAAACACCAAGGTGCAGTCGGCGGCGCTGCACTTCTTCCTCGGGTCGGAGGCAGATGCCGATCGTGAGGACGACAGCGACGACGAGGACACTGTTGGGAATGCGCGGCGTGATCTCAAGGGCGCACAACATCGCGCCGGTATCAACAAGGATGGGCGGAAGCGACAGCGCCAGATTGAAAAGCTGGCCAAGGTTACAAGCAAGGCAAGGAAGGAGCGCGCCGCCCATGTGGCGGTCAACTTCCCCGCGCTTGAGCTCCTTCACGACCCCCAGACTTTCGGTGAGAAGCTTTACGACAATCTCCACAAGCATGGTGAGTATGCCCATGTGATGAGGGGTTCAGCACTGAAACAACAGACAAGCAGTACTCGCTCGAGCACAAGGTGCTCATCATGCAACTGCTCTCGCGTGTCATGGGCGTGCACAAGCTTTGCATCCTCGGCTTCTACACGTACATTATCAAGTACCTCGCGTACCACCAACTTCAAGTCACGCTCATCCTCGTGGCGCTCGCGCAGTCGGTGCACGAGCTCACGCCTCCCGATGTGCTCACGCCGGTGATCCGCAAATTGGCGCAGGAGTTTGTGCACCCGGGTGTCGGTGCCGAGGTCATTGCTGCCGGTATCAACGCGATCCGCGAGGTATGCCGTCGCCAACCGTGGTGCATGGAGGAGGACCTGCTGAGCGACTTGGTCGAGTACAAGAAATCAAAGGACAAGGGTGTCGCCACTGCCGCTGGCGGTCTGCTTGCGCTCTTCCGCGAGGTGAACCCCGGCATGCTTCGCAGGCGTGACCGCGGCAAGACGGCGAGCATGGGCCTTATCGACGGCCAGGTTGCCGCGTACGGCTACTCGAAGGACGCGGCGGACGGCATTGAAGGCCTCGAGCTGCTGGACGAGCACTTTGCTGCGATGCGCAAGGAGGCCAACGGCGGTGTGAGCGACGACGAGGCGGCATTCGACGAGGACGACGAGGGAGGGTGGGACAACTTTGAGGTCGAGTCGGACTCTGACTCTGACTCTGACGCTGATGGCGGGGGTTGGGTGGATGTGCCGTCGGACGGCGAGGACATTGAGATGTCTGACTCGGACGATGACGAGCCAAAGGCAAAGAAGCGCAAGACCAAGGCCGATGCCGATGCCGATGCCGATGCCGAGGACGAGGAGGAGGCGGTGGACGACGACGCCAAGTCGGTAGCGTCGGCGGCGACCGAGGCCAAGAAGATGTCTCTTCTGGCGCAACAGAAGATTTTGACACCGGCGGACTTTGCGCTGCTGAACGAGCTGCGTCTCAAGGCGGCGCAGGAGGCGGTGGAGAAGGGCGGAGGCTCTGCGGCCAAGCGCAAGCTCGCACAGCTCGAGTCGGCGAAGCGGTCGACGACAGTGGAGGAGCAGTCGCGCTTCTTGACCGAAAGCGAGATTTTGGGCGTGCGGAAGCGGTCAAAGATGACGTACGAGGAGCGACTGGAGAGCATTCAAAAGGGGCGGGAGGGACGGGAAAAGTTTGGTTCGCTCAAGGGCAAGAAGGCCAAGGAGAAGGCGTCGTCGTCTACGAACCGGGAGAAGGCGAGGAACAAGCCGTTGATGATGGCGGTTCACTCGAACAAGGTTGTGCAGAAGAAGAAGGCGAGTCTGCGGGACAAGCAGATGCGTCTGCGTGCTGCGATCGACAAGCAGAAGAAGATGAAGCATTAGTTGGAGGGAGTAGAGCGTGGGGGATCATGGGTGTCTGGGATGTACAGTATTACTTTATGCTGGCATATGCTAGGTCATGTGTTGAGAGCATAGCAGTAGTGGGAGTACTTGGTGGTTGAGTGGATACGGGCATTACGGGCATACGGGCATGCGCGTCGTCGTGCGTCGCGTCTTGTACAGTTTGATCAGAGAGTAGGGGATGCCGAATTTTGGGAGGTGGACACGGGAGGGCGGGATCAAAGTACGAGTGCAGGAGCCCAAGAGAGTTCTGGCCGGCCAGGATGACCTTGCCAAAAGGAGACAGCATCCGAGCCCTTGGGACCTTTGGGACCTTTGGGACCTTTGGGACCTCTGGGACCTTTGGGAGTTGTATAGAGTATGTACATGGGATAGGATGTGGATGAGGGTGTAAGGAACGAGCCGCGAGCCGGTCCAAACACACGATGGGATGGGAGGGGGGGGCGCAGCGCACAGGATTGAAACCCAGGGGGTCATCCCGGGCCATTTGGATGAGGCCCTGGGGCCTGGGGGGAGGGTTGGGGAGGGGGGAAAAGGAAAGAGGTGTGAGCACGCGCCGCGCGCTCCGTCCATCGAATCATTTGGGTCGACCCCCTCTCTCTTTCACCCCTTGCTGCCTCGTTGTACCCAGAGCATTGCAAGCGCCGAGAGATCACTCGGTTGCTCAACTTGTCCATCTCCATCCTCGTCCTCATCCTCGTCCTCGTCCTCTCCATGCTCCTACAACTACACTTCAGACACGCTCGTTAAATTCATCATCATCATCTTTTTTCAAGCTTCCAAGTAGCTTGCAAGTGTCGTTTTACTATTACTACTACATACTACTAGTAACGAGACTATCGACTACCTGGCCACCCGGGCACCCGCCGACATATCCGAACCCCCGCGCCAGTCGACCCAATACACCCAAACACGGCTTGGTCTCTGTCACATCCCACCATCATCCATCTCTCAATCTCTCTTGCTCTCTTGATCATTCGCACGGGGCTCTCTCCTATTCTCCCCCCCTACCACCCCACAAGGCCCACCACACACATCCCCACCCAACTACTCTCTCTCTCTCTCTCTCTCTCGCCCTCCTCCTCTTCGCCCTCTCTTTCCCCCCCTGCACTCGCTCCTTCCCACCTCTCACCTCTCGTCCGTCCATCTCTCTTCCGCCCATTACACCCTCCCTCCCACCTAACAGCCCACCTCCCACAAACAGACGCTTCGTCACCTACTATCCTCCCTTTCATACTCTCCTCGTCCTCACGGCGAGGAAATGTCAACAGCAACCCCCACGGCCCAGCCGTCATCCTCCTCTTATAATCCACCACCATCCACCATCATCCCCGTCCAGCCTACCACTCCTTCCCCTCCTCCTCCCGCACTCACTCAAGCCCAAGCCCAAGCCCACGCACCCGCACCCGCACCCGCACCCGCACCCGCACCCGCCACCACCTTGTCGCCCACGGATGCCACTCCCCCCCACACTCTCGACACCCCTTCCACCTCCGCAAACATGACCGTGACCGACCCTGCTCCGGCTGCAAAGGTCCCCGAGCCTGCCGCCGCCCATGCCGTGGGAGCGACCGCCGATAACGCCCAGGCCCCTTCCTCATCCGCCCCCGCCCCCGCCCCCGCTGCCACCAAATCAGATGCGCCCGTTGCTAATGCAAAGCCATCCAGCAGCATCCGTGCATCCGACGAAAAGGGTACCTCGGACCGGAGTACAAAGCCCGCTCACAAGAAGAGGCGGAAACGTGGCGGCTTGGCCGGTATCTTTGTCGCTCTTGGCTGCATGTCGTCGGATGAGTTTGACGACGTCCCACCAACCAAGGCGACCCATGCTAGCGCCAACCGCAATGCCGCTACTACTACTACTACAACTACTACTACTGCTGCTGCTGCTACAAACACCTCCCCCGCTGTTGCCAAGGACACGACCTCGACCTCCCTGGCCGCGCAACCAGCTTCCTCCACCGCCGCAGTCGCTGCTGGAGCCGCTGGTGTTGCAGGTGTCGCTGGTGCTACCGCTGCTGCGGCAGCCACCGCCAAGAAGGCTGACCCGACCACGTCCCCCGCCGCTACAGCCACCAAGTCCGACAGCCCTGCTGTTGCAGCAACTCCAGTCACGGGCAACGCTTCGAGCGCCGCTGTAGAGTCCCCTATCACCCCAACGCGTGGTGACTCTGTCGTTTTGGGAGGTGGCGAGCCAACCACGCCGCCACTGGAAGAGGTGAGTGTGTGCGCCCATCCAGCGAGCGAACGTCTCCTTTACTTGACGCCCCTTTCCTTTTCATTTTTCACACCCCCCTCGCCCTCGCGCCGCTCTGCGTAAACGAATGCTGACTATTCCCAGACCGCAGGCCTCACCTCGGGCGCTGTCCAAGCGCCTGGCTCTGGTGGTGAAATCCTCCACCAGCACATGCTTCATCGCTCCGAGTCTGAACAACATTTGGCCGCGCACCAGGGTGAAGTGGGCAAGGCCGAGTCGAGCGGCGGCTTCACCGACTTGAGCGAGGACGGCATCGACGAGAGCGGGCACCAGGAGATGCTGTATGGTGACGACGAGTACGAGGATGACGAGGACCGTCTAATTGCCCAGGGCGGTGTGGGCATCCCGATTGACGAGGTGAGCTTTGGGCGTGGCGTTGTTGTTGTGTCTCTGTTGTTTAAATTGGCTTGAGCTGACGCCTCCCCCCAGAACGGTAATCCTGCACCGTTGTTGCCAGCCCTCAGCGGCATCGACAAGGGGCGCAAGTGCCTCGTTCTCGATCTCGATGAGACGCTCTTGCACTCTAGCTTTAAGATGCTCCCATCTGCCGACTACATTGTCCCTGTTGAAATCGAGTCGCAGACGCACAACGTCTATGTGATCAAGCGCCCAGGCGTTGACCACTTCCTCACGGAGATGGGCAAGATTTACGAGGTTGTCGTCTTTACTGCTTCGCTGAGCAAGTACGCCGACCCTGTCCTCGACATGCTCGACGTCGGCCGTGTCGTCCGCCATCGTCTCTTCCGTGAGAGCTGCTACAACCACAAGGGCAACTATGTCAAGGACTTGTCGCAGCTCGGCCGTGACATTGACAAGACGATCATCATTGACAACTCGCCCGCCTCGTACATTTTCCACCCGAACAATGCCGTCCCTGTCTCGACATGGTTCAACGACCCACACGACACGGAGCTCACCGACCTGTGCCCCTTCCTGGCGGACCTTGCCGGTGTCGACGACGTGCGCGGTGTGCTTGACGGCGGCATCTAGGCAAAGTGACGCCGCGTCGTGTGATCCATATACAACTCGCCTAATTTTGTCCCATCAGGTCGCTCCTGTCTCCGCACGCCTCCCCCCCCCCATTTGCACAGCTGTTCCCACGTCGACACCATTGCACACATTTCCTTGGCACCCAGATATACCCGATACCCCCGTCTCGTTGTCTGTACAGACTTTTCCCCTCGGGCGTTGGCTGCCATCGTCCGTATACTCGCCGATTGTTACTACGCTTCCTCACTAGTATTAGCACATTCTTTAACATGCAGTCGTGGACGCATGGCGGGGGCGGGGGCGGGGGCGGGGGCGGGGGCGGGGGCGGTATCCGGCGTCAGTGGGCTCGGACGCTCGGTGCGGGTTCAGTGTGAACAGATTACGAGCACAGCACAGGACAACGGCCGCGGGGCGGGATTCATGCGGACAGCCAGGTACAGTACATGATCGAGGGATATAAATGGCATAACCTTTCGGGCTCTTGGATCTTGGATATCTCTCCCGCGTCGCACGCACAAGTTGGACACGGCGCCGCATTTGTTGGAACTATCCGGCGCGCTCTTGGAAAACAAGGCACGTGATTTGGAAATTGACGTAGCCGGGGCCGCGGGCACCTCCACCGCACCTGCCCACTCAGATCCGCCGATCCGTCCACCTCTCCAAGCCACATATACGTCCCATCCGCTGACCGCTCTTCGGCTCCATCCACCATGCTCTCACGCACCGCCACCGCCCTCCGTGTCGCGCCCCGTGCGGGCCGTCTTGTCCTGCGCGGCCTCGCGACCAGCGCGCCGATGTACGAGGTGAGTCCGAGTCCTGAACGAAGTGGGTAGTGTCCGGAGGCGCCGGCGTCCACGTTCCCACCGCTGCCAATAGCTATTATGAGACCAGCCGCTGACAAAAGAACAAGCGCACCCCGCTGTACCAGCTCAATGTGGACCGCGGGGCCAAGATGGTGCCGTTTGCCGGGTACGACATGCCGCTGTCGTACGGCGATGTCGGGCAGGGTGAGTGCTTAACGCTGGGGGAGGTTTGAGGAAGGGAGGCGGTGGGGGAGGCAGGCTCGCAGAAATTGACGAGGGCTTGATTGCGAGGCCAGGTCGGGTGAGCAGCGATTGCCACGGCTGTCGTCTTTGGGCGAGAGCCGAGTTGGTGCACCAGCGCCTGCCGCCTCGCCTGGCGACTACCCTCTTCACTATGCTGTCTTGTTTTTGCGGGGCGCTTGTGGCCCCTTGTCTGCAGACCCGCCGCCTCAAACCCGTTCCAATCAGACTCCCACTAACCCCAGTCGCCGCGCACAACCACGTCCGCACGGCCGCAGGCCTCTTCGACGTCTCGCACATGGTGCAGCACATCTTCACCGGCGCCGGCGCCCAGGCGTTCCTCACCAGCCTGTGCCCGACCTCGCTCGACAAGATCCCCGAGCACGGCTCGTCGCTCTCAGTGCTCCTCAACGAGGACGGCGGCATCATCGACGACCTGATCCTGACCAAGCTCACGGCCGACGGCTCCAAGTGGTACACGGTAACGAACGCGGGCCGCGCCGACGAGGACAAGGCGCACTTGTCCGCCAAGCTCGACGCATGGAACAAGGCGCACCCGGACCAGGCGGTCACCTGGGAGATCCTCGAGGGCTGGGGTCTCGTGGCGCTGCAGGGCCCGCGGGCCGCCGAAGCGCTCGCCAAGCTCACGGACGCCGACCTCACGGCCCTCAAGTTCGGGCAGAGCGTGTACGCCGACGTCGGCAAGGACAAGGTGCGCTGCCACATCGCGCGCGGCGGATACACGGGCGAGGACGGGTTCGAGATCTCGATGCCGCCCGACGCGTCCGTGAGCATCACGGAACAGATCCTCGCAATCCCCGACGTGTGGCCGATCGGCCTCGGCGCGCGCGACTCGCTCCGCCTCGAAGCCGGCATGTGCCTGTACGGCCACGACCTCGACGAGAGCGTGTCGCCCATCGAGGGCGCCCTCGCCTGGCTCGTCGGCAAGGACCGGCGCGCCGCCGCCGACTTCCCCGGCGCATCCCGCATCCTCGCCGAGCTCAAGGACGGGCCGAAGCGCCGCCGCGTCGGCTTCGAGGTGCCGGGCGCGCCGGCGCGCGAGGGCGCAAAGGTCTTTGACGAGGCCGGCAACGAGATCGGCGTCATCACCTCGGGCATCCCCTCGCCCACCCTCGGCACAAACATCGCCATGGGATACGTCAAGAACGGGCAGCACAAGAAGGGCACCCCCGTCCAGATCGAGATCCGCAAGAAGCTTCGCCCCGCCACCGTCCGCCCCATGCCCTTCGTTCCCCCCAAGTACTACAAGTAGTGTGTCTGTAGTGAACATTTCGGTTGTTGCATCGCATAAATGAGCGGGGGAGGGGTGTGGGGGCGAACGGGTTAGGAGCACAGGTGGAGCAAGCTCATAAGGACGTTAATAGGCCAGCAGCGGCCGCGCCGACGGCGGCGCCCGCGGCTGCCATTGTTCTCGCGCCCGAGCTGGACTGCGATGGTGCCGGCGCCGACGGCGTCGCAGCACTCCCGCCGCTTGTGCCGCTCGCCACCGCTGCGCTCCCGGCCCCGCTTCCGTTCGGGGAACTCGACGCGCGTACCGACGTCTCGTTATTCCCCACCAAGCCGGAACCGTACGCGCGCGTCGTCGCGCCCTCCAGCGCCCACGTAAGCCCGCCGAGGACGTGCGCGATAAACGTCTCGTCCTGCCACGCTGGCGTTAGCGTCAGCCGCCTCACGCCGCACCCCACCCACTCTCGTTGGTATGCCCGAGCGATGTATAAAACGACCTGCCGGCGCGCGCTCCCATGTCCCCGTACTCTGGCGTCTCGATATACCATGCGATCGGGTGCGGCGTCCCGAAAGTGTAGTTGCCGCGCGACCCGGCGTTGTTCACATAGCTCCCCGCGTCGACGGTGAGCAGCACGCGCGCGCCCACCGCCCGCGGGTCTTGGCGGTAGTAGTATACTTCCTCTGTAAACGTCCATCTGTCGGGCAAGTGCGCTGTTGCGGGGTGTGTGTTGTCGAGCCGCACAAACGTCTGCGTCAGCGTGCTCTCGCGGCGGCGTACGGCCGGCTGCAGGTCCGGATGGTAGTCAAAGTATGCTGGCTTAGCGCCCTGCGCCCTCGCCCGACTCACCCCCCACAGCCTTGAGATACACGCTGTTGTTGTACAGACACGCGCTGGCCGAGTGCACACCGGCATACACCCCGCCAGCGCGGAGGTATCGCTCGAGCGCGCGCTGCTGCGCCCCGTCGAGCACCTCCTCGCTCGTGCTGACGAACATGAGGGCGTCGAAGCGCGCGAGCGTCGCGTCTGCGAACAGCGTAGCGTCTCTGGCATCAGACCGTCCCCCGGCGGCCGGCGGACGCACTCGGTGAACTCGAAGGCGACGCCGGCGCCCGGGCCGCGCGCGCGCAGCGTCTCAATCGCCGTCGGGATGCTGTCGTGCCGAAAGCCGAGGGTGCGCGTGTATACGAGCACGCGCGGGGCGGCGAGCGCGAGCGGCATCACGGCGAGCAAGGGGAGGAACATGCTGAGATCGTGATGGAATGGATCGCACGGCGGTGATGACGTCGTGTCGTCGCCATGGCATTCCGCGATCAGCTGATGAAACCGGCCTGAATGTCTTTGGCATGGCGAATCGACCGCAGTGTGTCGCATCGGGCGGTTGGGCATGCAGCGCACTACAGGTATTGTCCCCAAGCTCACGGCTCCGCACCCAGTCAAGCAACTCAACTCTTGCAGTCCTCAACTGTCAGATTGTTGAACAGCCAGCCCATCAGCGTCATTGACTGCTGGGTTTGCGGCAGCCTCTGACCTTCATCATCTCGGCATTGCTGCCGAAGCACTACTGATACAGGCTGCTGTCACACTCACTCAAAGCTCATCTGTCCATGGCTCCAGAACATCTCTCACTGCTATCCCCCGCATCGACCTCAATGCCCTCAACACGGACGGTTCTGAATGGCTCTCACGTCCCGTGCTGATTGCAGAACCGCCCCTAAAGACGTCGCCGCACCCTTTTGGGGTCTTCATCGCCTGCCTCCTATCCTGAGGACGTCAGTACATACATGCATACATCTACGACATGAGCAAGTGTTGCTTGGCGGATCTCGGCGAGGAGATGCGTGGATGGCGGAGGGCGGCTGGATTGGGGATGTCGCGAAGAATCACATGTTCAGGCGGCCCATGCGCTGTGAGAGCTCGTCCTGCGGGCGCGTGTCGTGGGAGAGGCTCAGGCGGCTTAAAGGTTTGGTGAGACTGTCGATAGCCTTGCTGTCAGATCGTGGGGCGAACTGGCCGAGCACGGCCTTGACGTCGATGCGCGGCCGACTTGAGAATGAATAATACCGGGTGCCAATCATGAACTCGTGAAGCCAGCGAGACAGGGGTGTAACAACGGCACGAACGGATTCTAACGACGGCGCAGCGCGATGGGAGGGATAAACGTCCAGCGCGAGCTTGTACGCGATGAGGATGAGCGAGTCCATGAACGTGAACCACCGCGACGTCGAGCCGAGGACTGGCCATATAGGAGCCGGGCGCCTATTCCACAGCTGGTCGGAGTAGTCGAGACACCACCGCCGTCGCTCGCACTTTCTGCTGTCAGCTCTTGTTCCTGGTGTAGCACTAACATCTCATCGACCTTGTCTAGCACGGCGAGGTAAAAGCAGCGTTGATCTACCAACGCCCATTTGCCTGTTCGCTGAGCGGTGGACCAGGCGCGCGTGGCGCGACGCGCACCATCGCGGAGCACGAATCCCACGCAGGCATCATGGACGCCTTGGAGCTTGCGCCCCAGAACGCACGCGTGAGAATAGTCGCCACGGGGGAAGGTAAGAAGATACGGTGGTAGGTCCTCTAACTGCATGGTCGGGTCCTGCATGGTGGTAGGAAGATGAAGGGCGGATACGGAGAGTAGAGCGTGGAAATTGGAGAGCAGAGAGTAGAGAGTGGAGAGTAGAGAGTGGAGAATAGAGAGTGGATGTGAGAGTCGAGAGAATGGGAGGTGAACTGTCGATGACTGTACTGTCCAGATGATTGATGATGAGTGTGTCGTGTTTGGTTGCGATTGTGAATTGTCCCGTCGCCAGTCTGACTCATTCCCCCCCCCTACAGACCAGACTGGCCAGTCTACTGCATCCATGTGCTTGAAGCAGTTGCGAATGTGCCGGAACAACGCATGCTTCTGGTCTGTAATTTATGCCCACTACACCTGGCAACCGAGTGTAGCTTCTGTAGAGTTGTGCGCCTTCTGGTGCCTGGCTGGCAAACCCCTGTCGCCACTGCAAGTGCCACACGCCACACCTGTCGTTGCAAACCTCACTTTCACCAGCCACAATTCGTTCTCCAGGTCATCAGGCTGCGATCCTGCATGCCTGCAGCGCTACATTCATACATTCAGCGGCGGCGCACAATCCAGATGTTATATGGTGACCTGACCGCGTCTCGAATTCTCGAACACGACACGGATCGTTGCCCTCGAACATGCCGCACAGCGCACCTGCTGCCAGTCCTCCGCCCTTCTAAGCTTGTATGGATCTACTCGCTTGCACTCGGCAAACACTGTCCTCAGTCCGTGCGTTCCGAGGCGCCAAGTGACCCGTGTGCACGGCGGTCCATCCCTCGCCGCCCGCCGCCGCACAGCTTCACCCAGGGCAATAAAGGTATCTACTGTAGCTCCCGGCGGTGCCGCCAGGGGCGAGCGCGGCGCGGGGCGCGTCGTATTCGCCGCTGTTGAGCGCTGGTCCTGACTGCGTGCTCGAATCGCAGCGGGCTGATTATAGACACGTAACCTTGGCAGCGCGGTGACCAGAGGTCGTCGCGACTGGCTTTACCAAAGCGCCCAAGTTGCGACTTGGCGTGGCTAGGGTTTGACGCCGGCGCTGCCGGATGATACAGCCCGCCGAGCCATACAGCGAGCACTAACATCCCATATCCTACAACCGCTGGATCATCATGACGACCAACGGCCACTCGACGTCGACCGCGCCGCCGTCCCACCCGTCCTCGGTGAGAGCGTCTTTGATCTGCGCCATGCGCCGCTCGACCACGTCCCCGTCGTCCCTGCCTCTCCCCCGCCTCGCCGCGTCTTCGGGATGCGCCGCCGCATACGCATGATACGCGCTCGACGTGCGGACATACGCCTCGATCTCATCCATGCTCCATCGGCGACGCAAGGCCCACGCGCCCTCCGTCGAGCCCTTGAGCCGCACGGCGCTCGCGGCGTCCCATCCCTCGCCGTCCACCGCCTCCGGCTCGCGGATACGCGCCGCGACCGGCATCCCCCCCTCGAGGCTGGGGATGCGGGCGAGTCTCGCCTCCGTGCGCGCGTCGAGCGCCGGCGCGACGGGGAACGGCACGGCGTCCAACAGCCCCTCGACGATACTCCGCCCCGGCTGCGGCCAAAACGCGCCCATGTCGCCGCGCACGAGGTCGCGGAACACGGCGGACGCGCGCGCGTGCCCCGTCACCCCCATCTCGCCGTAGCCGACGTACGCGACCGTACCGCGCGGCGCGAGGATGCGCGCCAGTTCGCTCCACGCCCGCTTGTGGTCGAACCAGTGCGCCGCTTGGCCCGCCACCGCCAAGTCGACGGAGTGCGCGGGGAGCGCGGACATGTCCTCGGCCGAGCCGAGCGAGTAGGATATGTGCCCGTCCGCGGGTTGCAGGCCGACAGAGACCATCTTCTCGGACGGGTCTTGCGCGGACACACGCGAGAAGTGCGGCGAGAGCGCTACCGCCATAAAGCCTGGCCCGCAGCCCATGTCGAGCGCGTGAGCCCGCCCCCCGCGGTGGTAGGCGAGGATGAGGTCGTACAGCTTCGCGGGGTATGTTCTGGAGTCAGTGGAGTCTCCGTGTCAGGTGCTCAGTGGCAACGCACGGCCGCGAGGCGAGGTAACCTGCTGCGTCGAAGGACGACTTGGCGAATGTGGCCATTGTGTGTGGGGGTGTGTGTGAGTGTGAGGTGATGTGATGGGTGCGGCTCGCTGCATCGCTTGAGACTATATAATGGCTCGTCTTGATCATTTGGAAGTCCGGCGGTCCGGCGATACGCGGCGATGCAAGTATGGAGATGAGGTCATCGCTATTCTGGTGCGGAATGTTTCTCCAAGTAGCACTTCATTGACAGTGTGCATCGACGAGCGCGGGGGATGCAGATGTCCGTCAAATGCCGACGCGCTTTTGCCAAGCATGTCGCACCTGGTCACAGAGTGCTCGGCCTACGACTACGGCACATCGGCGGTGGAATGGGCGTGAGGTACAGTGTGCGCGTCTCGAGCTGCCGATGTACCTACCACCTGTCCAGAGCGGCTCTACAAAACCCTCTGACACTCACCCACCTCCGCTCATGGCTGGTGGGCGCGACGCCGGTGCCGGCGCCTTGTGGCCAAACCCTCGCGGGGTTTCCCCCCGACTGTCCCTACCACCTCACCGACGGCTGCGACGCATCCGCACCTCCTCGCGCTCAGGCCATGCTGAGCGGAGTCGCCAGCGTGCTGCGGCGTCGACGCCGGGGAGATGGGAGGGCAGGCTGGAAGAAGAACAGCAGCCAAAGGCGCGTTCTGCGGCCAGCTTCCGTGAGTATTTGCACGTCAGTTGTCAGTGAGAGCAGCGAGAGCACCGAAGACGGGGGATGGGAAGCAGTTGTGACTCATATCGGCGGATGCAGCGTCGGTGAATTCAAAATCGCATCATCACACTCCATCGATTTGAATTGTCCCCTATCTCGATAACCCCTCCACTTCTCCCGACAACAACAAAAGCATCTCTTGCCCAACCTCTCCTCACCCATGCCGCCCCGCCGCGAGCCCTCCCGCGCCCAGATTTCGCACGGCCTCACGTATGTCGCGCAGAAGCCCTCGTTTCTCGCGAATTTTGGCCAGCCGCCGCCTTCGGAGCGCGAGCCGATCCCCACACGCCCCGACGAGGGCGAGTGGGCCGAGGACAGCGACGAGGATGATTGGGACAAGAAATTTGGCGGGGACGAGGACGGGCCGCAGGTTGTCGTGTTGAAGGAGGGGCGGCATCTCAGTGCGGACGAGGTCGCGCGGGAGCGGAGGCGCGGTGAGTTGAGATGCGGAGTCGGCGCGGACCCAAAGCGCGTACACGACGTAAGAGCGTTGTCGCAGCGACGCGCTCGGGGCGGGTCGAAGCCCGGCTTATCGACGATGGGGGGGGGGGGGGGGCGGAAGCATACGACAGCTTCGCTGACTGCAGCAAAGGGCGAGCGGACGCCATCACCTGAAGCCGAGCCGAGTGTGAAGCCATCGTCTGCATCCATCGGAAAAGAGCCAGCAAAAGAATCAACAACCACGGTCAAGCCTGGGCCAATACAGCACAAGGCGAAGCGCAAGCTCGTGGGAGAAGCGGCAGAGCAAGACGACAAGACGGACAAGACGACGGACAAGGCAAAGAAGAAGAAGAAGAAGGCCAACAAGCAAATGCTGAGCTTTGACGAGGCTGAAGGCGAGTAGGCGTCAGCCCAAACCAGACCATGAGCATGTACGAGCATGTACGATGTAGCATAGTGCCATTTTTCTGCTGACTGTCGCGTACTGTCGCCGGCGCCGTGCGGCGCCGTGAGATGAGATGGGGATGTAGGACCAACGCCGTCGGTGTGGTTGGCTGGGCAGTATGTCACCATCACTGAATCGGCGTCATAAAAGTTCGCCGCCTCGCTCTCATCTGCATCAACCCACTCACCATGCCACCCCGCCCCGCCCTCGCGCGTCACCTCCGCGCCGGCCTCTCCCGCCCACTCAGCGTCTCCGCGCGCGCCGCACACGCCGGCTGCTCGACCCCGCACGCGCCTCCATCCTCTTCCTCCGCCTCTACTTCCGCCTCCGCCTCCCCGTCGTCCTCCTCTTTCCCCTCTTCCACCGCCGCCTCCCACGCCCCATCGCCCGCCAACCCGGCCGGCGCGCGCGAGACGGCAACCGCCGGCGGCCGCACGCACCGCACCCCCGGCGCGCCGCTCAATGCGCCCGTCGGCGCCGGCGGGCCGGGCGACAATGCAGCATACTGCGCGTCCCTCGTACAACGGCTCGACCCCGATGCATGGCTCACGAGCTACTTCTGGCCCCGGCGAGAGCGGGAGTGGTGGCTGGCCATGCGTGCATTCAACGTGAGTCGTGCGCGAATACGCCAGGGGGTAGCGTGCTAACCCAAGCTCGAGCTGCACCTCGTGACGACGACGGTGTCGCAGCCCGCGATCGCGGCCATGCGCTTCCAGTTCTGGCGCGACGCGCTCGCCGCCGTTTTCGGGGGTAAGCCGGTGCCGCAGCACCCCGTCGCGCTCGCGCTTGCGAGCGTGCACGCCGCGCGGCCCGTGCAGCGCTACTACCTGGGCCAGCTGATCGAAGTGCGGGTGCGTAAGAATGCTGACAGCGTTGACGCCAGGCCAAGAACCTCGCCGCGCCGCCTGCCAGCGCGACCCTCGAGCAGCACCTCGCGACGTTTTCGCCGCTCAGCGGCGCACTACTGCAGGGCCCGCTGCCGCTCGTCCTCCCCCCGACGGACCCCGAGACGGGGCATATCGCGCACACGCTTTCGCATGTCGCGCACCTCCTCTCTGTGGCGAGCATGCTGCGCGCCCTCCCCTCGCTCATCGGTAAACGGCAGCTCAATATTCCAGCAGACGTGGCGGGGCGGCACGGGCTCGTGGACGAGGAGGTGTTCCGGCGCGGGGCGGCAGCGCCAGGCTTGCGCGACGCGCTGTTCGAGATCGCCACGCGCGGGATGGACGAGCTCATTACGGCGCGCAGGGACCTGTCAAAGACAAACGGCAAGGTCGTGCCCAAGGAGTGCATGCCCATCTTCCTGGCTGCTGTCCCCGCCGAGCGATATCTCCACCGTCTGGAGAAGGCCGACTTTGATGTGTTCGCGCCAGAACTTGCCAAGCACGACTGGCAGCTCGCCCCCAGAATCTGGTGGACGTATCAGCGCGGCAAGCTGTAGACGGCATCGGACACTGTATACATGCATACTTCACCCATCCTTGAATGAGCAGACCTGGGGGCTAGTCATCCTGTGTCATAGAGTCGGAGACAGACTGGCGTTGACACCCTTGGCCCCACGATAAGCTCCGAAATGACGCGTATCGTGTCTATCAGACTATCAAGAGCTACTAGAGAATCATGCGCGCTAGTCTACAGAGATCTCAGTATGGGTCCCGGCCAGATGTACGGAACGCATCGTGATCATTATACAAAGAAACAACTGGTGTTAGATGAGGCTTTCAGACACGGTCTCGGGCGTCCAGCAGCGGAGCAGCTCGCGCACTTCGGGGCTGACGGTGCGCGCTGTCGGTCGCTGCTCCACTGCTGTCGAGGACGCTGATGTTGACGCAGTCGCGTTCGCGGACGCAGCTGGCGAACCGCGTCGCTGGCGGAGCTCGCTGTCGGCGCTGCTCTCTTTGTCAATCTCCGACACAATGTCGCGGAAGGAGAGGAAAAGCACCTCGGCCTGGGCGAGGGTAGTGTCGAGATCGATCTGGAAGTCAGCTCCACCCTTAGGTCCCGACCCACCGTCCCCGTAAGGTCGTTTGCGTACTTCAGCACCTCGTCAAACTCGCTCAGGTAGCGGATAATAACGTCGCTGCCGTCAGCGCCCACTATCAACACCTAGCACCCACCGGTGGCTCTGCAATACCGCCAATGCGACAAACAACACCATGTTGTCCGAGTAGTAGTTGGTCCACAGCACCTCCCATAACCGGATCACTTCCTCAAACTTGAACTCGCGCTTGAACGCGATCAAGATCCAGCGGAAGCAGAAGAAGAGATTAAGCGATCCGGTGCGCTCCAGGTGTGCGTGCAGCTCCGGGTCCATCAAGGCGATGAGCTGCTGCAATGTGCTCAACTGACGGCGCATGCCGCTCTGGTCGCGTAGGAAGTTGGATTCCATCATCTTCATCACCCCGATGAGGCCGTAGAACGCCTCGGGGGCAGACCCATCGAATACGCAGTAGATTGGGCTGAGGAGATCCGACATGCCTGCGGTCAGTCTAGGCCTCGTTTCAGCTTACCTTGCACGTAGCCTAGGTCAGGCGCATGGACATGGTAGGTCATGAGAATTTCACGCAGCTCGGCAATGTGAGCTGCGGTTAGCGCTTTCCTCGCGCTGGCTTACGGTTCAACGACGCGTGACCGCCCTCCTCCTCCTTGTCGTCGCGCGACCAGATGTCCGCACCGGCGCCACCGCCCTCCTTCTCCTCGTCGCCCGCAGCCACGACCTCTGGTAATACCGCATACAAGGCCTGAGTACGATCTGTCCGACGACAGTCGACCTGCTGTCAGCTGTAACGGATACTCATACTCACATCAATGCGATGCCACTCTTCCTTCCAGTTGTCTGGCGTCTCATTACTCTTCGTCTTCTCACGCCACCCCTGATGCAGGCGCTCGTACTCTTCTCTTCTACCGCGAAGGACCTCGTCACGACGCTCGGCACGCTGCGACAACCGGTCGAGGCCCGAAGGCCCCAGCTCAACCGACCAAGGCACAACACCGAGGAGCACCTCCCAACCGCGGCGGCGCGCACCCTGGTCATTGGGCATGTCCGAGAATCCGCGGCGGAAGATCTCCTGGCGGACAAATTGCTCATCTTTGCCAGTGGCGATGAAGTCGTCCCACTCCTCAGCAGTGATTGGACGCTCGGGGTGGCGCGTTGGCTTGGACATCTTGCGCTTACCGGGCAGGAGCGAAAATACACCAAGGGAAGTGAAATCCTCGGTACTGGCGTCGCCACCACCAGCACGAGCGGCGAGCTCGTCGCGGCGCGACCGCTCGCCTTCCTCGGCGACCACGCGCGCCCAGCGCGCGAGGTATAGACGGGCTGCCTCAAACTCAGTTGCCACATCAGTACTTCTAGAGTTGCCTGTTCTAGGCGGCACGCTGCTCTGCCACTCGCCCGGAGCGTGTACCAAGCTGCGGAATGCCGGAGGGAGGTGCGGAACGACGGGCTTGGCCAGCGGGTGGTTGAGCACATTCTGAGCAGTGTGCCTGGCCATGTTGGTGATGTTCGACAAGCTTACAAGAAGCGAGTCCCGGGGAGATGTTGCTGATGATGAGAAGAGGGTTGGGTACGGTGTAGCTGGTGGAGGATATGCTGCGCCAGGTGGAGTCTGGTCGCCACCGTGCCACTGGCCCTTCTCCTCATATCCGGCCTCATGCACCTCGCGGTCCGCCTTGCTGGGGTTGACAAGCCAGAGCTCGCCACCGCGGTTATTGGTCGGGGTAATCAAGCGCGATCGAAGTAGTGTGGCGTGTCGGTGGAATACCTTGAGGAATGGAGGGAAGCCCCACTGCGATGAAGAGGGGTCATTGGGGTTCTGAGTAGTTGCAAGCGGGGTCTGGTCATCGTGGAAGTAGAGAGTAGGTAAGGAGACGCCTCCCAGCAGGCTGACATTAGCAATGCGTCCCCGATGAGGAGGCTTACTTGAAGGTAGCGGAGCCATACCAGTAGTACGTTCGGCTAGGCTGAGGAAGTGAGCGCTGCGCAATTTGTCTGGAGCGGAACTCACGGAGTAAACTAGAATGCTGTAAATGCTCGTAATGGGGACGGAAAATGCATACTTTTCCCCCTTCGGAGCCGGAAGCGAGACGAACACAAAACCTGGTGTCAGCTGGGTGCGCAGCTGCACAGCCACGGAGGGCGGAACTCACCGTCCTCCTCCGTTGGCGTTCCTTGTGGGCGGCCCTCGATGCGCTCGTACTTGCGCTTGTCCTCGTCGGGTAGTCGTTTGAACAGCTCGTCCGGCACCCACACGATAAGAATCTCTTTGCCCGAGGAGGGAGTGGAGGCGCCCGAGTCTGGCGCCTGCGGAACCTCACGATCGACCTCCACCAGGCCCAACAGGCCAGTGATGTTGTCGCGAGGGTGTTGGGTTGGGTGAATCGCTACATGACTCTTGACGTAGATAAGACGGGCTTGGCGGTCACCGGCAACGGAGGAAGGCTCGCGATCAGAGGTGGCGGGGAGATTACCTGACTGCGCGGGAGTGGTGGACGCTCCGGCGCTTGTGGGACGCGAGGTCATTGCTGGAGACCCACGCCTGACAGAGGCATTTAGTACTCCAACTCGGCGAGCCGCTCCCGTAGCTGTCTTCTGGGTTAGTCCGGCCGCAAATCGCACTCACCTGAGGATCTATGCGGGCCATGACGGTTCACGGAGCAAGTTGGGTTACTTGTTGATGGCCGGATCGGATGAAGGGGCGGCCGGATGACGAATCAAAGGCTCTTCAAAAGCTGGTGTGTATCTTAAAAGGCTATGAATAGAAGGGAGACTCGTGCGACAGAGACGGTGGAGAGAGTGATGGTGAGCAGAGCATCAACGCCGACGCGCGGCAAGCAGGCAGTGCGGCGGCGGGGACGCGACGTCATGTTGCCACCCACCCACTGCACCACAGTGGATACCACGTGGGTTTAGTTGTCTCATCCTCCCACATTAAATGTAGAGTGGCATGCGCGACGTGTACGGCAGAAGGGCAAATGACGGCGATTCATCGCGATCACCTTCTCCTTTCTCGATATCGCTCTCTCATCTCTCACTCCTCCCACCATGCCCCCTCGGTCACGATACGCCGTCGACCCCTCTCTCACGGCGCCCGCGAACCAGGCCCAGCAGTATCAGCCCTTAGCCCCGCCTGGCACCGCCCAGCCACTCCAGCAAGCCAATCCCACTTTCGCGCCGGGGTATGGCAACCAGCAGCCAGCATATGACGCGTCTTATGGCCACCAGCAGCAGCCCTATGTTGATCCGCGCGGACCACAATTGCACCAGGTTGATGACCGGTGCAAGCCCGCGCCGACAGGTCCCTACGCGCCCCCACAGGAGCATCATGTCCCCGCGCCCCACAGCTCCCACCTCCGTGGACAGCCGGCTACGCCCGCCCCGCCCTCGACATTCAACTACCCGCCCGAGAACCACATCCCTCCGCCCCCGCACTCGGCTGGACCGGCGCTCACAGGTCCCAGGATCCGCATCGACCCGTCCCAGATGCCTGATCCCATAGAGGGCCAGGAGCTCGACCAGAATCTCTACGATGACGAGGACTTTCACTCATGCGACACCAAGGGCCTCATTCCCCTCGCCATGACTGACTACCGTGGCGTCGACCAGGGTGGGTTAACTGCTTGCTGCAGAATGGCTGACATCAGGCAACTCCCTCCCACGGCATATCCGTGCAACGCTGCCGACGATACCCTCGACGCACCAGCTGTTGGACACAACCGCGTTACCATTTGGGCTAGTTGTCCAGCCCTTCGCGCCGCTGCGGTACGATGAGGCACCTGTGCCGCTCGTGTCGAACTGGGTTTCGGGCCAGAGCGCGTTCGACCCACCCCCTTCCCCCAGCGGAGAGGAGGCCGTCGGTCCACCCCGCTGTGACAAGTGCCGCGGCTATATCAACCCCTGGGTCCGCTTCGTCGATGGTGGCCGCAAGTGGGTGTGCAATCTCTGTGGCGCCGACAATGTCGTCTCTCACTCGTACTTCTCGCAGCTCTCGACTATGGGACAGCGTGTTGACCACAACGAGCGACCAGAATTGCAGCACGGCACCGTTGACTTCCTGGCCCCGCGCGAATACTGGTTCCCTCAGCCAGCAGGGAGCATCTTTGAGGACAACAGTGACGCACTGGCTCACGCAGGAGATGCCCTCGCGACGACCGGTGCCGACCTTCTTGGTGCGCTGCAGTCGAGTTTGGGCCAGACACCCAGCAGGGGCAACACACCGCAGCCTGGGCATCGCAAGAAGCCGAAGGAGGAAGGCAGGAAGCTCCGTCGTCCAGTGCCTATCGGCCGTGTGTTTGTTATCGACGTCACAACTGGTAGCGCGCAGCGTGGTATCGTTCGCTCGATCTGCGAGGGTATCCGACGCGCCCTTTACGGTGACAAGAAGGAGGATGGAGACGAGGAGGACGAGGAGGTGATCGGACAGGGAGAGCGCGTCGCATTTGTGACAGTCGGCCAGTCCGTCGGGTTCTGGAGCCTCAGCCCGGCATTGCCACAGCCCCAGCTGCTGGTCGTGTCAGACCTCGAAGACATGTTCTGCCCCATGGTCGGCGGCTTCCTCGTTGACTCGCAGGAGTCCAAGTGAGTGCTGGCTACAGACATGGCTGATGTAGCAGGGCGCAGATCGAGACCCTCCTCACGCTTATCCCCAACATGTATGAACAGCAGCCAGACGGGCCTTATTGCGCGATTGGCGCCGCGATCAAGGGCACGATGGACGGCCTTCGCTCGATTGGTGGCCAAATCAACTTCTTCTTGTCAGGATTACCGCAGCTTGGCCCCGGTAAGCTGCAGCCGCGTGACGAGTCGTCGCTTGCGGGCACGGACAAGGAGAAACAGCTCTTCTCGCCAGCCGACCCCTTCTGGCGGGTGACGGCTGACGAACTTGCTGAGATCGGCATTGGCGTCAACACGTTCGTCTTCCCCGACCGCGCTATGGATCTGGCCTCCGTCTCTGCGCTCTCGGCCGTCACGGGCGGTGACACGTTCTTCCACCCGAAATACTCGCCCGTGCGCGACCGAGACGCATTGCACGACGAGATCAAGCGCGTTGTAACGCGTGAGATTGCGTACAATGTGCTTGTCCGGGTACGCTGCTCCAACGGCCTGCGCGTGTCCGAGCACACTGGCAACTTCTTCCAGCGCTCTGTAACGGATCTTGAGTTCGGCACAATGGACGAGGCCAAGGCCTTTGTCGCGACACTCAAGCACGAGGGCCACAAGCTCGACGACCGCCAGATGGCCTACGTGCAGGTCGCAGCGCTGTACACTAGCTCGAGTGGTGAGCGCCGAGTGCGTCTCCTAAACCTGTGCTTGAGGATCACTGGCCTCATCGGCAATGTCTTCCGCTATGCCGACTTTGATGCGAGCGTCACCATGTTCTACAAGGAGGCTGTCACGCAACTGCCTGTCAAGCGCCTGAAGGACATCCGCCGGCAGCTCATTGAGCGCTGCAACCGTGTGCTGTTGATGTACCGCACGCATTGTGCGCCGGCCGTGCAGAGCGGGCAGCTCATCCTGCCGGAGGGCTTCAAGCTGCTCCCGATCTTCACATTGTGCATGGTCAAGGCCAAGCCGCTCAAGGGCGGCAACGTCGTCGCGGACGTGCGTTCCCACTACCTCCGCGTGGCCAAGGGCGCGGGCACGACTGCGATCATGTCCTCACTCTACCCTAGAATCATGGCCATTCACGACCTGGACGAGAAGTACGGCTTCCCCGGCCCCAACGGCCGCCTGCGCCTCCCTCGCTTCATGCGTGCCAGTCACGTGTGGATGGTTGCCGACGGCGCATACTTGCTCTCGAATGGGGAGATCGCTATGCTGTGGTTCGGTGGCGCCGTCAACCCGCGCGTCATCGACGAGTTGTACGGCGTCGAGAACGCGGACGAGCTCGACGTCCGCATCACGCGCCTGCCGAAGCTCCCGACGCTTCTCAGCACACAGGTCCGCAACATACTCACCCACCTCGAGCGGCTTGCTGGGCACGAGCTGCCGGTTCTCCTCGTGCGCCAGGACAGGGACGGGCTTGAGATTGAATTCGCCAACATGCTCGTCGAGGACAGCAACAACGATGCGTTGTCGTATGCCGACTTCCTCATGTCGGCGCACAAGGCGATCACTAACGAGCTTAGTGGGAAAAGCAACGACGGGTGGCGCGCACCGTGGTCATAGGCATAATTATACTCTTAATGTCGGGACGAACAAATGCAAACATCTGTGGGCGGGATGCCGGCGGGGTGGGGATAGGGATGTCATGTGGGCATTGTACAGTGTGGATGGGGGTTTGATCGGTGGCTGAGAGAGCAGAGAATCTGATTAAAGGGTCAATGTAGAGTGCATCGAGCGCAGATCGATTAGTCCGTAGGCTGTTGGCCTTGTGGCAAGTCGAGGTACGCCTGCGCCTGATCAGGCGGCATGTCGAAGAGCGCCTGCTCCAAAAACGAGACGTCAACATCGACGCTTTGGTGGAAGGCATTGCTCTGGCCCGCCATTTCCGGGCGCTGGGCCGGCAGCGGCACAGGATCCGGGACAGTCGCCGGAGCTGAAACAGTGTCCGTCGGTGGTGGCTGGGCAGTGGCTGCGGCAGAAGCCGCCTTCATCGTCTTCGCCGCCGGCGCCGGCGCCGCGGACGACTCCGACGACGCCGACAACGCCCGCTTCCTCGTCGACACCTGATACGGCTGGCCATGCCTCTCCTCATACGCGTTGCACTGGTTAATCCGATGCCCCGGTTCCTTGCAGTACCCGCACCGCTGCGCGCCCCGCGGCTTAGAGTACGGCCCGAACTGCCTGTCGTCGCCGACTGCGACCTCGGACCCATACTCCTGCGCGAGCGCGCGCGCCACCGCAGCGGGGATATACAGCGTGTGGAGGTTTCCGCCGGGCGTCGCGGGCGTGAACGCGAGCATCGTCTCCGCGGGGGCGGGGGCGGGCGCGTCGCGCGCAGCCCGCCGCGCGTCCGCGACGGCCTTGGCGAACGCGCTGTCCGAGAGCGCGACGCCGGCGCTGCGCAAGAAGCTGCGCACGGCGGCCGGCGCCTCGCCGCGCACCACCAGCCGCTCGTGGATGTCGGCGCGGAGCGCGAGCAGCCGCTCGCGCCGCAGCTGCGGGAGCTCACTTGCGGGCTGCGGCGCGTGGTTGTGGGTGTTGTGTGCGAGCGTCGCGAGCCACATCCCCCCCCGCAGCTTGCAGTTTACTTTGAAGGGGCAGCCGGTGGCTTTGGTGCCGCGCGGGCGCTTGGTGCCGCGCGCGCCGAAGGCGCCGTTCGCGCCGTGCCGGTGGCACACGAGGTTGCAGTATTTGCCGTCTTTGACGCTCGAAAAGTTGACTTCGAACCCGAGGGGCTGGGTTAGAGGCGGAGAGGGGGAGACGTACCCGCGTCAGCGCGTTGACGGCTTTGCGCGCGTCCTCGAGCGAGTGGAACTCCCCGCTGGTGAATGTAATGGGGGGGATCGTGGCGGACGTAGAGCAGCCCTCGGAGCTGCTGCCGGCGCCCGGAGACTGCTCGAGCATCTCGGGGCCATCGGGGTTGTAGGGAAGCGTGACGTATATTGGGCGCGCCGCCATGGAGGGGGGTCAGCAGAAGGTAGTTGAGGAAGTAGCGAATGGCGGGTGTGTAGGTAGATAAGCCGGCTTAACAGGCGTTGCGCCGTTGCAGGTGTCTCGCAGCAGCTGTGCGTCTGATTCACTGTAGACGCGGAGGAGGAACAAGCCTCTGGCTGTTGATGTTGTCGAGAACGCGAGAAATCAGATGTGGAGGATGACGCGTGATGCCCTTATCACCGTCACGTGCTTCTGCTGTGAGTTTGCTCGCTCCAACTGTGCTCCGCTAAACCCAGATGCATCGCACCCATCTATGCTGTATATGCTTGACTACTACAACAATATCCGCCGACGACAGGCTTAGTACACCTCGAGCACGTAGCGCTCCGACTCCTTGAGGTCCTCGAGGTACTGCTCAGCCTGCTCGCGCGACATGTTGCCCTCTTCGACGAGGGCCTCGCAGAGAGCGTTGAAAATGTCGGGCACGGGCCAGGTAGGACCACAGAGGTAGAACGCGGCTTGCTGTCTGTCAGCTTGTACTTTGAGCAAACTGGATTGTACTGCGGCCGAGAGCCGCTACTCACCTTCTTCGGGTCCTGCTCGAGCAGCTGCTTAGCGAGGACACGGCCGTGCTCCTTGATGCGGTGTTGGATGTAGATCTTGTGCTTCTGGTCGCGCGAGAACGCGAGGCCGAGGTTCCCGATGACGCCGGCGTCGCGCCATGCCTCGAGCTCCTCGCCGTACAGGTACTCCTCGGACCTGTGGCGCGAGCCGAAGAAGTACGAGCTGTCGGTGGACACCTCGATGCCCTGGGACATCTGGTGTGCGCGCATCTGGGCGAAGGCGCGGAAGGGCGCGGCGCCCGTGCCGAGGCCGGCCATGATGAGGGGCTGCGTCGGGTTGGGGGGCAGCTTCATCACCGAGGGCTTGATGGACACGGTGACCTTGGCGCCGACGGCCAGGTCGACGAGGTAGCGCGTGCACTGGCCGTAGCGGGTGCGGCCCTTGGTGTCGACCCAGTCGACGGTGACGATGAGGAGCTCGACCTTGTCGCCGACGACAGCTTGCGCCGAGGCGATCGAGTAGTGGCGCGGCTTGATCTCGGGGATGAGGCCCATGAGCTCCTGGACCGAAGGGCGCGCCGACGGGAACTCGCGCAGCACGTCGGCAAAGTTGACCGTCTCGTTCTCAGCCATGCGCGCGAACAGCTCGCCGCCCTCCGGCACCGAGATGAACTTGAGCTTCATCGCCTCCTCGCGCTTGGTCGCGAACTTGGACAGGTCCGCGTAGAACGACTTGCCCGGCTGCCCGAACAGGTCCAGGTTCTGCTGCAGGAGCTGGAAGACAGTGCGCGTCGTCTGCTGTCCCTTGCGGTCCAGGTGCGGGATCGTGACCACTGCCTCGGGGTCAAGGCCGTACCACTCGATGAACTCCTCGACCTCCTTGGCATTGTTCCAGCCGTGGATGCCGATCGCCTCACCGATCTCGTACTTGAGGCCCGTGCCCTTGGTGTCGAGCTCGAGGTGGAAGATGTTGCGGTCGTACGTGAGGGGAGTGAGGCGGCGGTTCTCGCTGACGGTGACGAGGAACGTCTCCTCGTCAAGCTCGGGCGAGAGCGCGGTGACACCAGTCGAGACCTCGTCGGCGTCGGTGAGCTTGGCGCCCGAGTCCGGGACAGCGTAAGCCTCGCGGAAGAGGATGTGGCGAGCGGCAAGCTCCCACGAGGAGAGCTTGGGCAAGGCGTCGGCCTCGAGAACGACGGGCTCGCCGGCAACGGCGTCCCAGGTCCACGCGTCCTTGATCTTGCTGAGCTTCTCGGGGTCAACCTCGAGGGCGGAGAGGACGTTGGGAGGGATCTCGAAGAGCGCAGCCTGGGCCTCCTCGACCTGGTCGCGGCCGAGCTGGCCGGAATGGTACGCATCGAGGACCTTCCAGACACCCTTGGGGAGGCGCTGCGAGCCGGTGTAAAGGAGTAGGAAGGCGACCTGCTCGCGGATAACGTTAAGCGGGCTCCCAGGCTCGAGGTCGAGGAGGAAGACACGGAGTTTCTTGTCCTGGATTGTCTTGATCTCGGCCGCCGACAGCTTGGACTGAAGGTCCTCCTCGGTCCAGGGGAGCTCAATGACGACGGTCGCGCCGTCCTTGGCGGTGGCGAAGACGTCGGTGCCCTTGAACACACCGTTGTCCTGCACCCAGATGAGGTCGGAGGGGGTGTTGGGGGCGAGAGGAACAGCGGAGCCCTGCGAGAGAGCGAGCACAGACTTGGTGCCCGTGACAGTGACAGCGCCGTACTGTGCGAGGGTGGTGGCAAGGGAGGGCGAGGCGAAGAAGAGGTGGGCGAGGAGGGTGGGGAGGGGTGCCTTGGGGGCGGTGAAGAGCGAGACAACCTTGGCGTCCTGAGGGGCAGTCGCAGTCGAGGGCGTCACGGCAACCTTGATGGCTGGCAGCTTGGCCGAGCTCGAGGTGGGGGCGGAGTAAAGGGCGGCGAGGACGACGGCCTTGAGGGCCTCAGCATCCGAGATGGTTGGGCCGGTGACTGTGACAGTGGCCTTGCTCTGGAGCGCGGCGGCGAGCTTCTCGGGCGAGGGGGAGAGGGTGTTAAGGATGACCTTGGCTCCGGCGATGGTCGAGGCGGCGTGGGACGCAACGGCGAGGTGGACGTCGGCGCCCTCACCAAGGACGACGAACTCGTCGTACGCACCCGCTGCCGGGAACTTGTACGACTGGACCTCGCGCGCGGCGTAAGTCGACTCGACGACGTGCACGACCTTGCCCTCGGCGCCATACAGGTGCGCGCCAGTGGCAATGACGTCGACGCCAGCCGAGAAAACGACGTCCCACTCCTCAGGCAGCTGCGTGAGGGCCTTGAGGACACCAGCCTCGGCGAGGGCATCAGTGAGCTCAAGGTCGGCACCGGTGGCCGTGGCTGCGACGTGGATCACGACATCGCCCTCAATCTTGGCGAGGTTAGCCGCGAGGTAGGGGAGGGTGGTGGCGGAGGCGAAGACCGAGATCTTGCCGGCGGGTGCCTTCTTGGCGTACCCGGCAATTTCGAGGCCCGCGCCCTCACGGGTCTCGACGGGGTGCACCTTGCCTGCGGCGGCGGGGAGGTCGTCTGCGTCCCAGGCCGCGAGGCGGGTCCCGAATCCAACTTCGACGGCGTCGTCGTACACCCACACAGCGGACGAGTTCTGCACCGCCAAAGCCTCAAGGACCTCGAGGCCCGAAGCGTACACGGTCGCGCCGGGAGCAGTGGAGGGGAGCGCAGCGTTGGCAGCGACGAGCTGGTCAACGTACCCTGGCGCGCCGGGGATAAGTGTGACGCCCTCGGCGAGCGAGGTGGGCTCGGCCTTGGGCGAGGCGAGCTTGGGGCTCTTGTCACCGGCCTCGGAGACGGCCGTGGAAGTGGCCGAGTAGGGTGTGGCGCTGCCGTTGCCGTTGCCGTTGCCAAGGGCGGCCGCTTTGGCGGCGTTGACGCCTGCCGGGAAGGGCGGGTTAGAGATGGCGACGGGGGCCATGGTGAGTGTGTGGAAGGGGGAGGAGGGGGTGGAGAGAGAGAAACGGATGCTCGTCACTGCGCCAACTAGTCTTTTAACGAGAGATGCATGATGAGCGAGGGAGGAGCATTCGCGTGGGCACGCCATTTCTCATCGTCCCGAATCGTCGCCGGCGGAGGAGACTTGAGCCGCTCCAGGCCCGCGAAATGGCGGTTGATTGCGTGATTACTACAACGCCCACCTCTGGATTTTCCAGCCAGCGTAGATGGGAGGCACAGATAGGCTCACCTCAGCTGTCGTGCGACTCCGAATCCTCACTCCCAATCCGCTCCGCGCCATATCGCCACATTCCAATTATGGCGACAGAGCCGTGGAACCAAAGGACATTGCTCTGGTCGATCCGGATTGTCTGATCGTCGTCGTCGGCTTCCATCTTTTCCAAGGCTTCGGCCATCGCCACGTGGAGTGGCTATCATGTGATCCTGCCCCACGCCGCCTCGGATGTCTTGAAGATGGAGCGCTCTGAACGCACAGAATCAAGCCTCCCGTCCTTTCTGGCTCTGGTGCCAGAGCTTGCCCTCTCCCACGCAGATTCTGACTTGGTCCACTGCGCCTCTGCGACCTGCGACGTTCCAGGCTTGAGCTGTGCTGTCCCCGCACTCTCGCGGCACCTCCACCGGCTGACTCAGAGCGAAGTCGCGCAGCCACTGGCGTCGGCGTCGCATGAATAGCAACGTCGATGGCACGCGGGGCTGCTTCTATGGCCGCCCTTGGCGCCGTAGGTAACCAGCGAGCGCGGCCGAGACCGGCTACACGCCTGCACGTACCCCTGCTCTGTCATCTTTGTGACCGAGACAAGATATTGTTGTCACGGGATTCGGACGTCGCCGATCTCGGCTTGCATCCGGCTATCACCTCTCCAGCTCTCCAGGTATGTGTGGGCATCGTCTTGGCTCGCCACTTGGTCCAGCTATAAGCGATCGCGACGCACACTGTTCAAGCACCAAACCATGACGCGCGACGTAGACAGCACCAACGGAATCAACGGCTCCAACGGCTCCAACGGGAGCACGAGAGGCGGCGGCGGAGGCGCCAGCGCGCACGGCGCGACGCGGTGGGACGGGGACGGCTCCCAGCCCTACTCGTTCCCGGACATTACGATGGGCACGCGCCGGCGCGTGCGCGTCATCTCGATCGGCGGCGGGGCGAGCGCGATCAACCTCGCCTTCCAGTTCAAAACGCACATGACAGATCTCGAGCACGTCGCATACGACCGCAACCCCACGTTGGGGGGGACGTGGTTGGAGAACCGGTGCGCGTCGCCGCCCTGCGTCCACTGATACCAGATACCCAGGGTGCGCTTGCGATGTGCCCTCGCACTCGTACCAGTACAGCTGGGCGCCGTGGAGCGGGTGGAAGTCGTTCTACTCATCCTCAGAGCAGATCTACGAGTACATGAACATGGTCGTGGACAAGTTTGGACTGCGCGGCGACTTCCGCACCAGCCACGAGGTGATGAGCGCACATTGGGACGACGAGGCCGCGCAGTGGGTCGTGCGTGTACGCGGGCCCGACGGCGAGTTTGAGGACCGCGCAGACTTCCTGTTCAATGGGAGCGGCGTACTCAAGTATGTCTAGCTCATTCTCCGCTGACAGCAGCAAGTGGAAGTGGCCGGCGATCGAGGGCCTGCACTCGTTCAAGGGACACTTGGTGCACTCGGCGGCGTGGGACCAGTCCTACGACTTCAAGGACAAGAAAATGGCGATCATCGGCGCGGGCTCGACGGCGGTGCAGATTGTCCCGGTGCTGCAAAAGCTCGTGTCGCACATGAAGTGCTTCATCCGCTCTCCGGTGTGGATCACGCCGGCTTTCGCGGCGCAGTACGCCGGGCCGGGCGGCACAAACTTCGACTACACGCCCGAGCAGAAGGCCGAGTTTGACGCCGACCCCCAAAAGTGGCTCGAGTACCGCAAGGGCATCGAGAGCAGCATCAATTGCCGCTATCTCTTCGTGACCAAGGGCACGCCGCAGGCCGCCGAGGCCAAGGCGGTCAGCAAGGCGCAGATGGAGGCCAAGCTGGCCTCCAAGCCCGAGATCGCCAAGCTCCTCATTCCCGACTTTATGGTCGGCTGCCGCCGCCCCACGCCCGGCAATGGCTACTTGGAGGCGCTTGTGGCGGACAACGTCGAGGTGGTGAGCAACCCCATCGTGCGGGTGGAGGAGCGCGGGCTCGTCACGGCCGACGGCACGCTGCACGAGGTAGACACGATCGTGTGCGCGACGGGCTTTGACGTGAGCCTCAAGCCCCGCTTCCCCTTCACGGGGCGGAACGGCGCCGACCTCGCCAAGCGGTGGGCGACCGAGCCCACCGAGGCGTACATGGGCGTCATGGTCGACGAGCACCCAAACTACTTCAGTAAGCTTTGCGGGGTGCGCCGCTGACGCGTGTAGTCTCGCTGGGCCCGTCGTCGCCCGTCGCGCACGGCTCCATCCTCCCCTGCATGGAGAAGATGAGCCACTACATCATGAAGGTGATCCGCAAGATGCAGGTGGAGCCGATCCGCGCGATCGCGCCCTCCAAGGCCGCGGTGCGCGAGTTCAACGAGCACCGCAATAGCCAGCTCGCGACGACCGCGTGGAGCGACCGCTGCAGCTCGTGGTTCAAGAACGGCACGGTCGACGGCCCCGTCGTCGCCGTACACCCCGGAAGCAGGCTGCACTACTTTGAGATGATTGCCGAGCCGCGGTACGAGGACATGGACATTGAGTACAGCAACAACCGGTTCGCGTACCTCGGCAACGGGCGGACGCGGCGTGAGGTCGAGGGCCGCGATCTGGCGTGGTACCTCGAGTCGCCATATGATGTGACGCTCCCGTATCCGGACCCGTAGTGCGTGGGGATAGAGGAGGCAAGCGAGTGTAAACTGCAGATGTAATGATGTCAGGCCGCGTGGGGTCACCACTGACTAAGGTGTGGGGAGACATAGACTCGAGCACCATGCTTCACCTTAACGCCGCGTCAGCAATGACGCTGCGTCAGTAGTAATACAACCTTGCAGCATCGATCATTGCCGCTCTGAACGCGCCAGCATCGACGTGGCGCGGACATGTCGACATCGCCACTGACAATTCCGTCGGCCGACGCCCTTCGACCCTCGCCCGGAGCTAGATTGATCCACGAACGTGCCTGGGAAATAATTGAAAGGGACGCGTGGAGGCCGATCCGCGGCTCATAAAGATCAGTCAGCGACATCGAGGCAATCAGTTGTTGTTGTGGCTCTCATTCACTTGTGCATACTCCCAGTCCCTCTCGCCTACGCTTCAAACACACCGCGAGGGCGCGCCCTCTGCTCTCTTCTCCGTCTTTTTGTCTCCCTACGTCAACAAACCCCCCTCCCCACTTCCCCGCCCATGTGGCTCCGCCTCCGCCTCGCGATGGTGGCGCTCGCCGCTCTTCTTTTGCCGCTCCTCGTCGCCGCAGGGCTCTGGGACGGCGGCAAGCCCGAGTCCAAGGTCGCCCGCAACGTCCTCGAAGGCAAGACGGAGGGGTACTGCAGCGTGAGCCCCATGTATGTCGGAGCTAACCTCAGCCGTCCGGGCCGATCGAGGCGACCAACTGCGCGTACGAAACCGTCGAAGCACTGAACAAGGACCTCTTCCCCGCGCTCCACAGCCTCGTGTCGCACCCCTTCTTCCGGTACTACAAAGTGGACCTGTACCGGGAATGCCCGTTCTGGCGAGAGAACGGGCTGTGCATGAACCGGGCGTGCGGCGTCGAGACGATCGACGAGGCCGACGTGCCCGAGAAGTGGCGGACGGCGGCGCTCTCCGAAGTGGTGTTGACGGACGTCAACGAGGGCGTGAACGGGTGCTATTTCCGCGACGACGACTTCTGCTTCATCGAAGACGACGCGACGCCGGACGGGCAGTACATCGACCTCATCGAGAACCCGGAGCGGTTTACGGGATACGCGGGCGACTCGGCGCACAACGTCTGGCGCGCAATTTACCAGGAGAACTGCTTCGGCTTGAGCGAGAGCGTCATCGAAGCCGCGCGCAAGGGCAAGGTCGTTCCCGGCCGCTCCCGCGCCGCCGGCATGGGCTTGAACCCACTCCAAGCGGGGCATGCGCCGCAAGACGCCGACCTGTGCGAGGAGAAGAAGCTCTACTACCGCCTGATTTCTGGTGAGTCTGCTGCGCTGCGCAGTAGTGTCTGACGCCAGGCCTGCACGCGTCCATCTCGATCCACATCTGCGCCGACTACCTCGACCAAGCGACGGGGGAGTGGGCGCCTAACCTGGACTGCTTCGTCTCCCGTGTCGCGACGCACCCCGAGCGCCTGTCCAACGTCTACTTCAACGCGGTGCTCCTACTGCGCGCCGTGGCGCGCGCAGCCCCCTACTTCCGCGCGTACGATATCGGGATCACGCCGCGCGGCCGTGAAAACGAATGCACGCGCGCGCAACGCGCGTCCGACGCGCGCACGCGCACCGAGTTCGACGGCGTAATCGGGCTGGCACAGCGCCTCGCCTCCGGTTTCGACGAAGAAGCGTTCTTCGCGGGCCCCGACGCGCCCGTCCTCATCGAGCAGTTCAAGGGCGCGTTCCGCAACGTCAGCGCGATCATGGACTGTGTCGGGTGCGACAAATGCCGGCTGTGGGGCAAGATGCAGGTGGGCGGGTTCGGGACCGCGCTCAAGATCCTGTTTGCGCTCGACGACGCCGACCTCGATCCCCGCGCGAACCCGAACCTGCTGCAGCGCAGCGAAGTCGTCGCGCTCTTCAACACGCTGCACCGCGTCACGGAGAGCCTGCAGGCCGTAGAGGAGTTCAGGCAGATATATGCGCGCACGCAGGCGGAGGAGGCGGCGGCGGCGCCGGGGCGCGTCGCGCGCAAAGCTGCGGAGCGGGAGGCCGCGCGCATGGCCGCGCGCGAGAGGGAGTGGGGGCCGTGGCTGGGTGCTGCGGCGCTGTCGGTCGTCGCGGCGGTGAGGAGGGGGTGTGGCGGGTGTGTGCGCGCCGCGAGCGAGTTGTTGGGCAGCGCGGCGCACAAGGGCGAGTTGTAACAGAATAGACATGGCATCGCATTGCATTGCATTTGCGGCGGGGTGGTAGCAGGGGCTGTGGGACGGTGGGGTAGAGCGACGCGCTGAATGCTTGCGTGCGTGCGTGCTTGGGACGCTGGAATCATGGGGTGGTCTCGCGACGAGGAGAGGGTCCCACGATGGGCTGTACAATATCAAGAGGGTTGATCAGGTGGGCGGCTGTTGGTACCGAGAAGACATGAAGCAGAGCTGCCCTCGAGCTGCCCTCCTAGCTGGCCCTCCCAGTGTGCATCACAGTGAAGCATCTGCAGTGTCACATCCCAGAACAGACGTTGAAGTCGGAAAAGACGCATCCTGGATTCCCGCCTCATCCCTCCAAAAGGTGGAAAGCGATTACGACACCACCCATAGTACTCAATCTGATAGCATGACAACCAATGGTACACAAATGAAGACAGTAGAATGATGGTACAAGGGAGGGAGTGTCCTGGCAGGCAATGGCTGGTGGGGCGACGGGCGTCCATGCTGACATGCGAGACTGTACCCTGGCCGCAAGCCTAGCCACGCCCGACCGGGACCTGCCGCACAACGACCTCCTCGATAACAGGCTTGTCGAGGTTGCGCTTGCCCTCTGGGCGCTCGACGATCATCTCGCGCTCAATGATAAACTTGCCCTCCTTGTACTTCTCGCCTGGCTCGTACGCAAAGTCCTGGCGTCAGCCAGTTCGCTCTCCCGGACTCACATACTTCCACCCCAACACGTGGTGGCAGACGCTGCAGTACAAGTCGCGCACGGTGTGCTTGCCTGTGCGCATCGTGCGGTCCTCGGCCTCGGCCGAGGTGTAAACGTTGACGCTTTGGTAAGCTGCTGATGGCTGTGCTGAGTGACGCACACATGGCGGCAGAGGTACGCCCTGCCGTGCTGGCCGGTGAAGTTCTGGCGTCAGCGCGGCGCGGGGCGCGGGGCGAGGGCAACGTACACGGCTCATGACGCTTTCCTGCACGGCGAGGTGGTTGCCGCAGCCGCGGCAGACGTAGACGGTCTCGCCGGCGAGGTAGGTGCGGTAGCTGCGACCCATAGTGTGTCAAGGGGAATGGGTAGGGGAGCGGAGATGCGTGGGAGGGGGACAGGCCTGGGGGTGGCCAGCCGGACAATGGGGGACACAGGGTGATGCGAGGAGCGCCGGAGGGCGTGGACGGGGTGGTGGTGGTCGGCGGTGGTCGGTGTGAGGTGGGTGGTGGGTGGTGGGTGGGTCGGCGGGAGTTAGGGGAGGGTGGGCAGTGATAACGGAGCGCGGGTGGCAATTGCGATCGCGGCGTACTAGTGCGACGTAGAGCGGAGGACGGGTATCGGAGGCGGCGGGGAGCGGGAGCGGAGTGACGAGGCGGGGGCGAGAGGACCGAGTAGTTGAGAGAGATGAGAGATGAGAAGAGAGGATGAGAAACCAAGACAAGAGTAGTTGGTGAGAACAGCAAGTGACGTGGGGAAGGTGGGTGGGTGCACACGTCGTTTCTACCGCGTGTCCGGATCCACCTCGTCCGGCAACTGCCGGGGTTTCTTGTCATCTCTTCCGCTCACGTGATGGTTCTTCCTAGCGAGCTCGCTCTGCATTTGTCTCGGCATCTGCCTTTGGCATCATGCAGAGTACCCCGAGTGTTCATCACCAGCCTGCCGACGGCCGCCAGCGTTGTGCTCCGCCGTCGACGGCATCGATCTGACTCGCATGGTGAAGCGGGTGGCGAAATGTTGCCACCCAGGGATGACATGAACAGGCACGGCGCCATTCCGCATCAGCCCCTTCTGGTCCCCACTATCTCATCGCTGCCCACCGAGCAGATCAGAGCTCCCAGGGGATGCATAGAGTACAACATGAACAGGTGCATGAGTGGGCTGATGAAAGTGTGCCAAAGACGGGGTGACCAAGGTGAAGATATACAGCCGCCTACTCCTCGGTGGCTGTGTCAAAGCCCATACCTGCGCGTCGTGGGCCGTGGTCCGGACCCGAACCGTGAAGCTCAATCCACGGCAGGAGTGTGTCAAAGTCCTCCCACCCAAAGCTGGCGTACATCCCATTAGGGCCGAGGTTGGGCTGAATGCCCTCGACCTCAGAGTCTTGCGGCACGCCGGGCGGGTAGGCCTCCTTGCGCGAGCTCGGGAACAGTTGCGCGATGATACTGTCGTCAGCTACTCATAGCTTGCGCCGTGGCTCACATCATGGGCCCGACCCAACGGGAGCGGCGACCCTCAATGCTCGTCTCGGCCATGGCCTCGCCGTCCGTACCCCAGATACCCTCGTTGCCGCTCCAGACGCGATCGTCCGCGTCCTCCTCAACCTCGCGATAGTCCGCACGAAAGTCACGCACGCGGCGGAGGGCCTCGAGAGTGGTCTCCTCAGGGTCCTCCTCGAAGGGCGTGTAGTTCGGATATTGGGCGTGACTGTAGGCCGGTGTAGGATATTGCGTGGGTCGATAGGGGAATCGCTGGCGGAGGCTGGGTGGCGGTGATGCATCAGGCGTCGGTGGAGTGGGAGGGTCTGAGTGGTCCTCCGGAAGCGTGGGGAGCGTTTCGGCCTGCATGGAGATAGGGGTAGTGAGTTGAGTGGGTGGTGGAGTAAGAGTCAGATGATCATGCTGCTGAGTGGGTGCGGCGGTATTCGCAGAGTTGTCGCCACCGGGTCCCGCGGTGCTGACATTGAGGATGGGTACGAGGGGCGACACCGGACTGCCCGGTAGAGGTAGACTGCTTGTGGACGATCTCCTGCCCATACCAAAGGCCCATGAGCGGCGCCGATCACTCTCACGGCTCCACGAGCGCGTTAGAGGAAATAACGGAGTAGTGGACGGGACAGCCTCTGGATTGTCAGAGGAGCTGCCTTGGCCATTGTCGACCGAGTGGCGGCGACCAGGCCGCCAGTTGAATCCGGTGAAGAGGGGAGGCCGTCTAGTCGCGCCTGCGCCTACCGATCCGACCGACGTTGTTCTCGTCAAGGGAACGTACTGCTGGGCTGGCGCTGATGTCGCCACACCAAGTACAGGGACGGCCGCAATGGGGACAGCAAAGGATATCGAGTTGGCCCGGGGCGGGGGCGCTGGGATGCCACTGGGTCCTGTGCCTTGCGGCGGGGCGCTGTTGCGGTGAGGGACCTTGCGCGGCCGCGTGTTCTCGGTTACAGGGCGCAAGAGAGGTGGATGCACAACAAAATGGGCATTGGGATTGACGTAGTACGACGCCTTGTTGGCCAGCACGCCAACGGCAAGAATCCGCACGTCTTGGAGGTGGCATAGGACGCGGACGACGGTGGGGTACCCCGTGACGCCGCCCTGCTGCTTGAGCTCGTCGAGAATCTCATAAGGATCGAACGTGCGCGTGTAGATGCGGTTCAGCGATGCACTTCCGTTGCGTCTAAGATGAATGAATCTCTGCCGTTAGTTTTTTGGGTCTGGTCTCGTTGGGCTCAACGCACCGTCCAGGCTTCGTGGTGGGCACAGCCTGACGCCCTGTGGTCGAGGCGGCTGAGAGTTCGAAGGAACGCGGCTCGCCATTTGTCTTCTGGGTTCTTGTATCTCTTCCAGCTCGGCAAGAATCGGCGCTCGAACGCCTCTTTCCAGATATCGTCTTTCCAGCGGCCAAACTCGAAGCGCTCGAGGATCCAGCGCGCCGGTGCGCGCACGAGCACGTCGAGGAAGAGGCGGCCGTTGTCCTCGCCCACAAAGTGGCGGAGGGAGGGAAGCACCTCAAACTGCGGCGGATATGGCGGGCCCTTGCGCACAACGCCTTTGATCACGGCGCGGAGTGGGGTCAGATGCGTCTCCGTGAGAGTGTGAAGCGCCGTGCTGGTCGAGAGGAAGTGGAGCAGGTCGCGTTGGGGAAGAAAGCTGCTGTTAGGGCTGAAGCCTGGCGGCGCACCTGGCGATCTGGCTGAGGATCTCGGAGGGGAGGTCGAGCAGCTCGAGAGGCTCGTCGTTGTCAGTGCTTGGTGGCGAGAGCATGGTAGTGGGCGATGGGAGACGTGTGAGGGACGGTTGTCAGTTGACTCTTGGTTCATGTAACCGATCGTCTAGGCCATCCACAAGGACCAGGAACGTGTGGAGACCCCGCACTTCATTTGCCACCGCCACGCCGGCGTTTCCTCCCCCTCGACTCGACCTCCACCTCGGTCCATTCACTCTCGCACGAGTCGTCGAGTCTCACAACAACTCGATCGCTTCTCTACACTCTACCATGTCCCTCCGTTCCGCCTCGACTCTTACGCTGGCCCGCCGGGCGCCTGCGTTCGCCGCCCCGCTCGCGGCAGCGCAGCGCTTCAACTCGTCCTCTGCCTCTGCGCGGGGATCTACCAGCTCGGAGCTTCCCATGACCTGGAGCGAATACCTTGCGATGCGCAAGCGGCGCAGGCAGTGGTCGACGCTCACGACTATCCCTACGTCTATTGGTGGCTTGATGGCTGGCGCTTCGTACTGTGCGCAGCACAGCATGACAGCCGAGGGCGCAACCATCTTTGGCCTCGACCCGATGTGAGTGGCCATGAGGGGACGATGCGAGCGGTGTGATCGGGCGGGGGAAGCAAGGTCGCGGGCTGACAGCAGGATCATGTACGGCGCTGGAACGTAGGTTTTGACAAGCACCAGCGAGACAGGATGCTTACCACGCTTCTAACTTTGGGTGACTACGCTCGATTTAGTGTTGGTGCAATGGGTGAGTCGCGCCTGGGCGTCGGGGAGTCACCTGGAAGGGTTAAGATCGAGTGGAGTTGTCGCCGCTTCGGTGAAGTGTCGAAGGAGAGCTTGTGGTCGCTTCCAGAAACATGATGAGAGGTCCGGGCGTGGGCGCGGAAATGCCCTCCCCTCTTCGGTGGCGGGGATGCCAGTCCATGACTCTTCTTCCCAGACCGCGCCAACTCGGCCGTGATCTTTGCGAGGAGGTAGACGGGCCACACCTCCATCAAAGTCACTCCTCGTGGGAGAGGGTGGTGGGACATGAAATGAGACTTGATCTCAAGTTGTCAACTGTGCCAGCCCACTGCCCCTTGCCCTCCATTATGTCGCTCTCAACATGCTGCCCACCTCGTGCAATGGACTTCGCAGTTGGTCTCCACCCATCTCCTCTACTTATCCCAAGCAATCCCCCTTCGTGTCCCCACTAACCTTAGCTCTCGGCTACCTCGTTGGGCCCGCGATCGGCAACACTGTTTTTTCCCTCACGCACCCCAAGCTCTCAAAGGGCAACCCTTCTCCTCTCGAGGTGATGGACCGCGAGTTCTTCACGCGCATCAAGGAGAGGCGAGCGGACCCGTCGCGCCAGAGTGTGAACAACCCAGCGCCGGACTATTATGGCGAGAAGGTGGGTTTGGTTGGGTGTGGGAGGCGGCGCAAGCCGGTGGAAGATGGCGTCACAACGCTCACACCAGATCGTCTCGCTCCAGGCATACCGCCGGTGGCTCAAGGACCAGAAGGCGTACGAGCGCAAGGTGGCGCACGGTGTGCCGGAGGACGAGTGATGTTTATTGTAGATGCTTGCTCTGTCCATCTCATGAACGCATTGGCATAGTCGCAGAAGTGTAGCGATGGGGAGTATGGGGCTGGAGCGAGCGGCCCTTGTCGGCTTGGGGACTCGGTGCCCCCGGATGAGCCGGATGGCCGGTCGTGAGAGATGCGGGATGGAGGGTGACGACGGCAAGCGTGAGAAAGTAAGCCACGTGGAACTTTGGGTGGGAGCTTATGAAACTCTTGTAATGTGATTGGAGGAAATGGAATGTCGGTGATACAAGTCCGAAGAGCTCCGTGCAAGTGGCCGGGGTATTCCGGGCCAATTAGTGTGATGGTAGTGACAATTGGAGCATTGCAGCTGCGCCCTCACTGGCCAGTCTCCGACCTTCCCTCTCACACCACCCCCCCCCGTGACCGCCCCACCTCGACTCTCTCACTAACTCTCTCTACTCCTCCTCTCCATCGTATCCATCACTCTCTTCGCCTCTTCATCTCCTGCTCCCCTCCGGCATCACCCTCTCCACGCTCTCCACGCTCTTCACTTACTCCCCACTCTCCCCCCCCCCCCCCCCCCCCCCCCCCCCCCCCCCCCCCCCCCCCCCCCCCCCCCCCCCCCCCCCC